TTAGTGCTAGCCAGGGGCTTGGAGTGCTTACATTCCGAGAAAGAACCAGCACTATTTGCAATACAATCATCAAGGGAGTACGGAACTTTTGCAAAATTGACTACTTATCAGATTCCTTAAATATGGTTTCAAAACTGTCAGCCCCCTTATATAAGCAGAAGGGTGTGTGGAGGGGGGAACCCAATCTAAGGGGAGAGGCCATTGAGAGGAAACAAACAATTTATTTGGATCTTGCAGAAGTACAAAATGTTCTCATAGAATTATTTGCTTGTTATTAGCTTAACAATAAATAAGCATCCTAATACAGGTGCATGCAAGGCAAACCAAATACCCATACCCTCCACGGGGAGGGCTTCTGAACTTCCATGTACCCCCTTTTCTTTTTTTTAAACATTTTGATATCTGCATTTTGACAGTTTCCTTTGTAATCCTATATGTTTTATACATTTAAAAATATTATTCTGAGGCCTCCCTGGACTGCCAAAAGGTGTCCATGACACAAAAAAGGTGTAGATCCCTTGCTCTGTGGGGACATTTTCCTTCAAGCAGGGTTTCTGGGTAAATCACTTATCTGGGCAACCCTCAAGAAACAGTAGCAGAGCAGGTGTGGCCCTGCATCTGTAGAGGGAGTTTCCCGATTTGAGAGTTCCCCATACCAATGAAATCACAGGTCTTGGCTCTATTTTTATCCTATCCCCAGCTCCTAATAACACATTGTAAGTGCCTTACGAGACGTTGGTAGAATGAGAGTGAACTGTGGCTTTACCGTGTTGGGGTTAAGATGTCTGCTGTTGCCCTCTTAACTCACTGGTCCTCACCAAGGCTGTTTGTCTACTTGGCATTCCTCCTTGACCACGTCCAACCTGGCATCACACAGCTGCCCCCTGCCCCCACCCCATCACCTCATCCAGAACTGAGCAGCTCAGGCTCTACTTGGAGAGGGCATTCTAGCAACAGATTTTGCGAATGACTTCCATCAAATAGGTCAGTTTTATTTTTATTTTATTTTTTGCATCTTTAGGTTAATTTTGTTGCAATTCAGTGAAGTCGGAGATTGGAATCCAGTAGAGTGAAGTTCATTTCAGAGTTGTGATGGGAGAGAAAAGCCACGACCTCCCTTGCAATGACCCCTGCCCATGCTAGAGAAGACGAATGCCTCCAAGGCCTTCTTCTCTTTGTCTCCTCACAAAGGCTGAGATTTTGGCACCATCTAGAGGAGATATGTTTAACCAGCTAAATAATGTATGTATGTGGAGGAAAGAACCAGGAAATTTCCCTTTGGTGAAAAGCTCCAAGTCACGCCAGGTATCTAGTCCAGGGACTCTAGGGAGTCCCCTAGGCCTGAGCTCCTAGGTTAGCCCAGTAGTTACTAAGTGTGCCCTGTCAGAATGGCAATGTGCCATGGGCTATCAAAAAGCAGAGGACCTGCCGAGGGCCAGGAAACCTAGGTTTGAATCTCACCCCCGGACACTTGCTAGCTACCCAGATGGGACTATACACTTCAAAAGCCTCAGTTTGCTCATCTGTAACATGGGGCTAATGATGCTCACTCACCTCAGGGGTGACAGTCATCATCACGCCATCACAATGACGAAGGTAGCAGCAAGAAGGGCCTGCACTTGCTTTAAAGGTACGGGGCAAGGGCAGACAGTGGTCAGGTTGATGGTGCTGGTGGGAGGCACCGTCGTGAGCTCCAGAAGTGGCAGAGGGGGATGTCCGTAATTGCAAACACTGGGCCAAGAGCCCCCCATTCCCTGTGCTTTTAGTTATTGGTGTCCAGCTTCATTGCTCAGCTAATCCCTGCGAAGTTAGAAACTGATTCCTCCCAGGTGCAACTGCATTTTTATAGGGAACTGCAGAAAACAGAAAAAAAAACCCAAACCCCTTCATGAGGCAGTGAGGGGACGCCACAGTGCACAGAGCAAGAAGACCCAAGTTCAAATCCAGCCTTAGACACTTACTAGCTATGTGGGCAAGTCACTTCATCTGTTTGCCCCAGTTTCCTCATCTGTAAAATGGGCATAATAACAGCACCTTCTTCCTAGGGTGATTGTGAGGATCAAATGAGATAATATTTGTAAAGTGCTTAGCACAGTGCCTGGCACATGGTAAGAGCTATATAAATATTAGCTAGTATTATTGTTCCTGAGTTTATCATGGGTGGAATGAAAGATGAAAAGGTTGGCATTTATGGGCAAATGTCACCTACTCTTTACTCAGAAAACTCAGTGCAGGAAACTGGATCTAGGATGGTAGAAAGAGTAACAGCATGGGAAGAGAGGGCGAGGAGCACCTTCCCTCGACCCCCAGCCACGGCTCTTAGGGTGGCTACTATATTCTCAGTGGTCTCGTCATGCCTCTGGCAAAAGGCTGTGTCATTCAAAGGAGTGTGGAACTTGGGGGTATTCCCAACATTCCCATGCTCTTAATGCCACCTAGTTTTGAACACTGTCTCAAATCAATCATGCCACACCACACTGTTCACTCAAACTGAATTTGCAGTCCACCAAAACCACAAGGGGCCGCTGGGTGGTGCAACAGTGGATAGAGCGCCAGGCCCGAAGTCGGGAAGCCTCATCTTCCTGGGTTCAAATCCGGCCTCAAACACTTCCTACCTGTGTGACCCTGTGCAAGTCACTGCTTCTCTGTACCTCAGCCTCCTCATCTGTATAATGAGAGTTGAACTCAATGAAATCAACGGCCTCCAAGTTCCCTTCTGGCTTAAAATTTATGATCCTCCATTTTGTGCTTGCTCAGTTTAAGATTTTACATTTAACTATTAAATCCCATGGTGCCCTTCCAAGTCTTCTCTCCTCCAAGCTAAACACACTCAGTTCTCTCAGCTCTAAACCCAGACTTTTACATCTTGTTTAACAGTAAACAAGACCCAGCTGGAGAGCTCAGGAAGGCACTGAGTGGAAAAAGGTTCAAAACAAATCACCAGCTCTCAAAACAGTCATAATGGCACAGACGCCTTGGAGCTGAAACCCCCTTGCAGTAATTAAACACTTAGGTATCTAATCCTAGAACTCTTGGGAAAAACAAAACAGCTACACCTGTGTAGGAAATCAAGGAACTTTCTGAAGTGTTTCAAAAAAGCAATGGAAACCTCAGAAACTCATGATCTGACAGGAAAGAGCACCGGGCTCAGAACACGTGACCCTGAGTAACGCCTTTACCCTCAGAGAGCCAGTCACATGTCATTTGCCAAACACAAGTTCCACCTCTCAGAATTCTGATGAGGAAAGAGCTTTGCACCTGCAAAGGGCTCTTAGTATAGCTGAACAGTAGGAAGAGGCTGGGAAAGTACCTTCATCTGATTTCTTCAGACCTCTGCACTCAAATGCACGACTCCTCCCTAGGTATGGGACATCCTTCCTCCCCCTTCCCCCAGGGCTATGGCTCAGCCCTCACGTGGCCAGCTGAACTGAGTCTGGGGAAGGCTCACTGGGAAAGCATTGGGATGCTGTACCATAGCCCACTTCACAGGAGGGTTATGCTTGGGAAAGACTGATCTAGATGCCTTGGGTCTACAGAGCCACCAGACCCTGGCCTTTAAAGCAAAACCAAGAAGGGGAACTTCTTCAGAGCCATTAGAAGAGGGCCTCACCGCCCACAAGCTTGCATCTAGAACTCCCCCAAGGAGGCATTTCCCTACCCCTGCAACAACTGAGAAGAACAGCAACTTTTCAAAGATGTGGGGAAGACAGGCATCTTATTCTTAGGATGGCCTGGGGTATGTGTTAAATACCAATTTCACAGAACATCAACTCAATGCTAAAATTATATATAAGGCATTTGCAGTTGTGGTCAGTCACTACATCTGATTTTCAGTGGCATTTAAATTCAAAGTACGGTCAAGAGGAGAGAAAAAATGCTTGATATGGTTCTTGAGTCAGCTCTTGGTAGAGCTAGGGGCTTGACTCTGGCCCATCTGATTCACTGCTGCCTCTGCTAAGGTCAGGAATGAATATGTGTTTAGAGTTCTGCCAAGTAAAACTCAAAGCTACCTTATTTCTACACTCATCACTTGGTAGGGAGAGGATTTCCCAGAAGAACATTTAAAAAATGTTAGTAGCCAATTAATTCTGACAAGACTACTAACCCAGAGGGGTTCCCAATGCTAACTATCTTTTCTTTCAAATTAACCACAAACGCTTTCAGGAAATATTTATACCGGAAACCCTTAAGCTCCCAGGCAACTCTAGAGCAACAGCCCCGAAGTCACAAGCCGAAGGCCCAGAAGGCCAAGCTGCCCTCCAAGTCAAAGACATGAAGTCAGAAAAAGAAACTGGCTGTGAGAGGATTGCCAGCCAGATGAACCCCGGACAGAGGGGTACACCAGCTTAGCTGGTCAGCAGACTCACCGCACAGTTACAAAACCTGAGCCTAGAGGGCCCAAGCCCAGGACAATGAACACGTCACAGTTAACAGGAAAAACTAGTGATAGGGGCCAAGCTCTGTGTGAAACATCCAAGGGCCAGACTAAGCCTTGGCTTCCTGGCAAACCCAGCCATCCACAACTCTCCACCGTATAGGCATACTTTGTTAACTGACGTGTTTGTCACCTGTTGCTCCTGAGGCCTCTCTGACTTTACAGACTGAAGATGACTATGGTAAGTACTGTAAGAAGGTCTTGTATCCAAGTAGTCATTTTGCAACTCATTTTCAACTATGTACCCTTCATATACAATAATGCCCCCAGAGTCCAATTCTGAGCATTCTGGTCCTCAGTTAATAAACTCTACTTACCACAACAAATTCAACTAAACTGATTAACACAGTAGTTAGAGAACCGTAGAGAGAGAAAAGGGGCCTTCAAGATAACCCAGTCCAATCCCCTCATTTTCAGATGAGGAAACAGGCTCTGAGTGGGCAAAGGGCCTTGCCTACGGGTCACCGAGCTAGTTTAGGAACAAGGCTGGCACCAGAAGCCAGGTGTTGCAGGCCTGCTACGAGAAACCTGAGTCATCTAAAAACAAAATGACATTTACCAAACATTGGGGACCAACTTTTAATTATACATTTTTACTTTCTGAGACACAGGCTAACCGTCAACACCACACTTGGGGTTCATTGGTACAGTACAATATTTACAAAGTCTTTCAAATTCAGCAACTCAAACCAAAACAGCTTAATTTTGGAAAACTCCAATGCCTTAAAAAAATGTAAACAGTTCATTTTTACATTGTTGTAGAAAAGAATTTCTAACGAGTTCATCTTCATTTCTTTTTAAGTGAGCTCTCACAGAGCCTAGTGCCCACAAATAAGGAATGAAGTGTTCTTTACATAGAAACATTGTGCTCCAGTGTGCAAAAAAGAAGAAATGCTATTTCTATATACACATACAAAGAAAACCCTAAAATCCACAACAAGTTGGGCCACAAAAACAATTTGTCCTCAAATTGAGAAATTTATGAAAACATTTACACATAGTTGTTGACCTACTGGAAACCTGTATCACCTTCTCCAAGTCACTCAAAGAGTTCAAAGGTACCACCTTCAAAAAAAAAAAAAAAACCAAAAAACGGAATTCTGTGCAAAAGAAAAGATTTTTTTTTTTTTTAACTCTAAACCAAAACCATTTTCCTGTCATTGAATGGCCAAAAGAGCCTCTGAAGAACTGAGCTGTTAAATTCAGGGCATGTAACCAAAAAAAGGCACACACAGGAGATTCATAGATGAATATATTTCATGCAGAAACCTTTGCATGTTGACAACTATATAGCAAAACCACAACCATTTTTAAAATGTCAGGCCAACCACTGGGCAATTCTCTTCTTGCACGTACGTGCCCTTTCTAGTCTACCTGGCCCAGTTACTAGCTCCTTGACACTGCCTCCCAAAACATATTAGATCTGAACAGCTTAAAAACAATGTTAGCCTGCAACACTACTCCAATGTTTTTTCACTCAGGATGCCTACAGAAATGTACTCATCTCTGTTTATTTTGAATTGCTTTCACACAAGTCAAGCTACAAATTTCTTTTTGTTGATAAACACTTTGATTGCTCCAGTGAAATCAGCAGACAGAAGAACTTCCGTATGGTCTGTCTTCAGGGCACCTGAAAAGCATTAAAGAAAAAGTGTTACTGAATTCTAAAGAAACGGAAAACCCAAAGCCTGAACGGCCCGTCATTCATAGCCTTCTTCCCTTTCCCTCATGGCCTGGCATACAACACAACTCATTCTACCTCTTGGGGGAGAGGCCACCAGATTCTTTTCTCTGGAAGCCCTTCACTTTACCACAAGCCTTTCTTTACCTTTTTTGGTGTCCTGACCCCTGTTCCATGGTCTAGGGAAGTCTATGGCCCCCTCCCCTTTCTCAGAATGTCTTTAAAATACAAAAGGTCTACAAAGGAAACCAAAGGTCAATGAAGGCCCAAGGTCACAGATCCTCTGAAATCTATCCATGACCCCCCCCCCCTTAAGGTGCCCACGGACTCCAAGCTAAGACTCCCCTAGTTTGCTCATCATCAGGGGTTTACCTTTACTGGGCTTTATCTTAGTCAGTTTTCAAAGACCTGCTGAGACAAGCGGCATCTTGCTACAGTAACCATAGTTTCTAAACCAAAATTTGGAACACAGAGTCCGACAAAAGTCATTCCTCTTTTGCAGAGTCTTGTTTAAAAAGCCACTAGCTTTCCCTGAAATTGGGACCGCCCCCAGAAAATGGAGGCTATTCATACACGCAAAGGTACATAATCCAGAGCCCTCTCTCTTCACCCCACCCACCCCCACTGCCCCCGCAGAGTCGGGACTGACGCTAGGGTTTGCTACAGCTAACCACAGTTTTGGGTTTCACAAGATGGCAGGAAGCTGGAGGGTTTCTCAGTCCTAAGAGTGGGGGGGGGGGGCGCGCCGTGGTCCAGTTGGGTCTCATGACCAAACTGAGCTCTAGCTTCTGGGTTCTACTTGTCCGTACTGAAACTGGAAGGAAGATTCAATGCAGCCACTGTGAGGGACAGTGGCTCTGCACCTGCTCACAAGTCAGTCTGCTCAGTCTAATCATGTTGGATCACAGACTCGAGAATGCTTGCAATCCACAGGGGAAAATCAGTGCTTCATGAAGAAGCTGAATGGGACACAAGGGAGCCAGTTCCAGTTAGCCCTATCACACACATGTCCTAAGGATCTGAAAATACTCTTTCCCTTTCTTTCAGCCTTGAATCTCTGGAATGAAGGGCAAAGGTCTTTGGGATATGTGAAAGGGGAAGAGGGAAAAGGGAAGCACAGGGATCAGATGAACTGGAGCCACACTTAAGTTTCACTTTTCCTCCCAAAACGTGGGCTGCCAGGAGGAGAAAAGAAAGAAGAAAATCAGATATAACTTTTTGCGCCATACCCTGGGATCAGTCAATCGCCCCTAGTCAGTTGCCAAGAAACAAAAAGAAATCCCAGCAATCTATGAAAAGTTCTGCCTCTTAAAGAGACCAGAAGATCCCTGATATCCTGGGAAGTACTGAATGTGGAATCGGGTCTCAGTCTGAATCCTGCCTTTGCCACTTACTACTTTCTCTGGGCCTCAGTTTCCTCTTTTGGCAAATGAGGGGATTAGACTTGATCAGAGGCTCATAGCCTGGGGTCCAAGGAAAGAATTCAGGGCGTTCCATGAATGTGGATGGGAAAAGCAATTATATCTTCATTTTCACTAACCTCTAACTCAAATGTAGCATTTCTTTCAATTAAGAATGTAGGAAACAAGCAGAATTCCAATCAGGAGTGAGTGCAGAGGCTGCTTCACTAGCCTGACGGAGCTAGAAAGGTGAAGGACCCCTCCAAGCTCCCTTCAGTCTCTCCAGTGAATGATCTGGTGAAAATGGCGCGTCAAGAAAAGTCGGCCAGCTTAGATGGTGGGCATTGGGGCTTTTCTCATTCTCTTTTAAGATATAGAAAGACTCCTTCCTGATTCATGCCAAAGAAAACCACGGCTCATAAACATGTGGAAGGGATGAAAAGTAAAAACAATGACAAGAGATGCAAACATTCTCGATCAGCTGAGATGGAATCAGGGAAGAAACTAAGTTGAGAGTGTTTATCTAGACATGAATCAAGTAGAACCTCATGAACTAATTCTATGAATTTGAAGTGAATGATCATGCTGACAGAGGCTAATCCGATGGTGACTTCTGCTGGAGAGCAATTATTGATAATGGAGATAATATTGCAAAGGAAATGTTTGAAATTCTTAGAAAAACAAAAAGTCTCTAAGTGACAAAATCAGGATAGAGTTCAACAGGTATTAAGCACCTATGTGTAAACCACTGTGCTAAGAATATAATTTTTTCTTTTTTAAGGCAATTGGGGTTAAGTGACTTGCCCAGGGTCACAAAGCTGTCCAGTGTTTAGTGTCAAGTGTTTAGTCTGAGGCTGGATTTGAACCCAGGTCCTCCTGACTTCAGGGCCGGTGCTCTATCCACTGCGCCACCTAGCTGCCCCTAAGAATATAAATATTTAAAAAATGAAATGGTCCCTGCCCTCAAGAAGTTCAGATTCTATTAGGGAGAGGGAGAGATACACAGTAAGCAAATAAATATCAGGCTACTTGAGGGAGAGAACACTATCAACTAGGTGCGGGCAGCTGAACTGAGCCTTGAAGGAAGTGAGGAATTCTGAGAGTCAGAGATAAGGAGGGAGTACATTCCAGGCATGGGGCATAGCTTGTGTAAAGCCATGGAGGTGGGAGATAGAATGCTGATTAGTACAGCCAGCTTGACTTGGGCCTTGGTGGGTAAGGAGTCTGGAGGGCTGGGCTGGGGTCAGACAGTGGCGTGATCTACATGCCAGGTGGAGGAATTTGTATTTAATTCTAGAGCCACGTGGGAAAGCTTCCTCTAGGAAGCTTTGGGCAGCTGTGGGGCAGGTGGCTTGGGAGAATGAATAGATGGAAGGAGGGAAATGATTACAATAAGCAAACCTATCAATTTGTTTTGCTCAATTACACTGCTTTGTTAACAAAGGAGAGCTGGGCTTCTGCTGGGGAAGAGGGACAACTGGTGGGTAGTGATGGTGACAGAAAAGGAAAAGAATGTCAACAAAACATTAAAAAACACACAAAACAGAGCAGAAGAAAGAGAGTAGCACTGAAAGTTTTGTTACTATCATTTACATCCAATATGCACCTAAGAAAAACACCCTCCAACTGTTTTGTTCCCCATACAATCCTCTTTTTGCGCCCTCTTCGAATCTTGAAATGTTCCTGTTTGATGATGTCTGTCAAGGTCACAGTAAAAGGTCCAACTCCCAAATGGTCCAGTTGAGAAGGGCTTGATGGGCCTAACCTAGGGAGAGGCGGTGGGGATGGAATGAGCAAAGAGCAAGTTGGGAGAAGGGGCTCATTTGTTCTGTTCCGTTTTGTTTTAGGGGGAGAAGATGAGGTGGTTTGGGATATACTAATGGAAAGGCCTGACTATGCTATCCAGCAGCTGGCTGGCAACGTGAGGCAGGAGTTCAGAAGAGAGATTTTTTTTTCCACAGACCTATGATTTCCCTGGTATTGGGAACTCCTGATGAGGAAATTCCCATTGCCAATGTAAATGAGCACTTCCCACGCAATTTCTTGGTTTAGAGTGCTCCCTGGGGGCACTGAGAGATTCAGGGACTTTTCCAGGGTCAAACAGCTAGTAGATGCCAGAGGCAGAATTTGAACACAGGTTTTCCTGACTCTATGGTGAGTCCTCTACCCACAAGGCCACACTGCCCCTCATGAGAGCTTAAAGATGGACATGTAGACTTGGGAATAATGAAATAGTGAAAACTGAGTTCATGTTAGTGGATGAGATCAAAGGAAAAGAGAAAGATGCAAGTGTAGAGAGAAGGGAAGAAAGCCCAGGACAAAGCTGTGCCCTTGGCGAGAGGAAATGGGTGATGATCCGCCAAAGGAAAAATACAGAGATGAGAGAGATTGAAGGGGAATAAAAAGTGAGGTTGGCCTTAGCAAGAAAGGCCACCTATTGCTCAGAGACTGGAGCCAAGGATGGTCTTCATTTCCCCTGTCAAGCAGGGAGTGAGACAGATACCAGAAGAGGCCTTGAAGAGACAGCTTTCACACAGTCATGGAGAATGATACTCAATTGAGGGAAAAATACAATGATTATGGTAGAGCACTGAGGTCTCAGTTGAGATTAGATAGCAGATTAGGAGTGGGGGGCCTAGTCAACAGTGGTGCAACTTCCTCCAGAAGCACCTAAGTAGGAAGAGATAAATGAGACGGTAGAGCCAGTTTAGGGCTGGGCTCTGGTTAAGGTGTGAGTGTGATACAAGATAGTCAAGATTAAAACTGCACCAAGACTTTGGGGACATCCTGCCTATAGATAAATTAGTAAACTACAGGCTCAAGTTTACGGAGGTGAGGCACTGAGGCCAGAGCAGGGCTAACGTGGCAGGATAGTGTTTATCGAAGGCCGTACGGTTTGCCAAGCGTTTTACGCACATTGTCTCGTTTGATGCTCACAACGATGAGCAGTAGGTGCAATTATTATCCCCATTTTACAGATGAGGAAACTGAGATTGAGAGGGGTTAAATGACTTGACTTGCTCAGAGTCACACATCTAGTAAGTGTCTGAGGCAGATCCCGAGTCTGGAGCTCTATCTACTTGTCAGCCTAGGGAAAACAGGAGAGGATGGATGGATCTGAGATTACAGTGATGGTAAAGAGTAGTTTTAGGAGGAGTGAGACGGGGGGTGGGGGAGGGGGAGGAGAGGGACAGAAGAACAAGAAGTCACAGGGAGGGACACTTCAAAGTAGGAGATTAGGAAGGCAGCAGAGTGATGGTCTACTCTAAGGCACAACCACCCTATGAGTGGCTGGGATGGTACCCTGAGAGTTAAGGGGGTTAATGAGCCAGGAAGAGATCAGGTTGTTGGAGGAGTCAACCAAATACATCCTGGGGCAGCTAGGTGGCGCAGTGGATAGAGCACCGGCCCTGAAGTCAGGAATACCTGAGTTCAAATCCGACCTCAAACCAAACACTTGACACTTACTAGCTGTATGACCCTAGGCAAGTCACTTAACCCTAACTGCCTAAAAATTAAAAAACAAACAAACAAAAAAAACCAAGTACATCCTTAAGTCCTCAAGCATAAGGGCAGGTGGAGATGACTAAAAGAGCCAGGCCTCAAAGGTGGGTGAGAGAGCAGCCAGCTCAACACCGAGCTGGTCTACACTTACCTAACTTAAGAAAATTGTACTTTACAAGCTTTTCTCTAATTCAAAAAGCTTATTCTTTCCAACGGCTTTGCTTCCAGTTAGGTGCCACTTGGGAGACTTTACTATATTTCTTTCTTCCAATTTCTACCGTCTTTTGCATCACTAACCCTGTCACACCCAGCACATTCAGGGGTAGATAGGAGGTGCCCAATAAATACTGCTGACTAATTCCTCTCGATTCCAAGGCAGAGTGTTTTCGCTCATCCCAAGGAGGCACAGCCTATGTAACAAGTAGCCCCTGATGTCACACTGCTAAGGAGCTGCTTCTGTTCTGTGACAGAAGGGCCGCTGGCAAGGAACGGGTCCAACCTCCTCCTACTTCTCCCTGTGGCTCACCCTTCCTAATCTATCTCCTTTTCCTCTGGCTCCTCCCCCGCTGCCTGCACACGTGCCCGTCTCTTCTCTCCTTCACTAGACGCTGCCATCCGCTTCAGAGGCCAACCAACAGCTTCTCCCTTCTGCAGCTCAACTCCTAGAAAAGGCCATGTGTACTCCCTGCCTCTACTCACTCACTCACTCACTCGCCTCTCAAGCCCTTGTAGTCTGGCTTCCAACTCTGCCCCTCAACTCAAGCAGCCATCCCCACGCGCCCCGGGATCTCCCAACCGCCAAATGGAGCAGTCGTTTTTGGTCCTTCCCCTTGACTTCTCTGTGGCCTCTGACACTGCTGACTCCTCCCAGACTTTGGCCTCTTTTTTTTTTTTGACACGGCTCTCTCCTGCTTCTCCTCTTAACCGCCTAAGTGCTCCTTCTCAGTCTCCTTTGCTGAGCCATCCTGTGTACTCCAAGCTCCACCCTCAATGTAGGGATGTACCGCAGGGCTCCTCTCTATGCCCTCTCCCACCAACAGCCTATGGCACAGACATCTCTAGATGGCCCATGGGCAATTCCACCTCAAAGTATCCAAATGAAAATTCTCTTCCCCCTCACACTCACCTCTCTTTCTAACTTGCTTATTTGTGTCAGGAGTACCGCAATCCCTTCCATCAGCCATGTTTGCTAATTCCAAGTCATCCATGACTCATCGCCCACATGCTGCCATCTATCCAATCAGCTGCCAAGTAACATCTCTCAGAAGTGTCTCTTTCTTTTCACTCAGTCCCCACTCTTGGACTCTCAACACCTCTAGCCTGGAATGAGCAGTGGCCTAAGTCGTGGTCTCCCTACCTCTAGTCTCATCCCCTTTCCAAGCCATCCAAGCTGCCAAATGGATCTTCCCAAAGTACAGGCTGAGCATAGCACTGCCCTGCTCAAGAGGCTGCAGTGGTTCCCTATGGCCTGCAGGATAAAACAGACTCCTCTGTTTGACTCTCAAAACCACCCCTAATCTAGCTATCATCCCAGACTGATTTCACATTCCTCTCCCTTACACATTCTAGGTTCTGGGTCTGAGCCAAACTGGCATCTCCAGCTTCCGGGCCTTTGCCAAGGTTAGCCCCCATTCCTCAGATGCTCCCTTCACAGCTCAGCTCAAGCATGGACCTCCCAACAAGAAGCCCTTCCTGATCCCCCAGCTTTTAGTGTTTTCCCCATTGCCTCTTAAGACTTCATAATCACTCTGTATTGTATTACTCTTGTGCTATCTGCATTATTGTTGTCTTTACTGATCTGTGTACCTGCTCTTTCCCCTAAGTAGAACGTAAGGTCCTTGAAAGTGGGGCCTGTTTTCTTTTTATCTTTGGACCTCCAGCACCTGGCACGGGGCCTGGCAACGAATGAGTGCTTAAATGCTTTCAGAACTGAATTAAAAGTGGATTTCTGAGAAATATAAACCTGAGAGGATGAAGACATGCTAGGAAAGTATTCAAGGCTTCGTAAATTCCCTGCATCCACCAAGCAGGGGACACAGTCTTCATAAACACCCAGGTCCTATCAGGTGTCCCCTTAGCTATGTGGGCCTGGGAAATACCAAAGGGACCAAACCGGTCAGGCCAAATTCAATGTAAGCACCTACCAGAAGGCATGGCATCTGATACTTGAGAATCATTATCTTGATCATTAGCTTCAGCCTTCTCAGATGGCATTTCCAACGATAACATCAAACTTGGGTTTGGAGCAAAGATTGCTGATGTGACAACTGCATTGTGTGCTAGAGGAAAGAAGACATTTCAGGAAGACTAGTACGTCATCAGAAAACAAAGCCAGATTTTGAAACAACAAATGTTAGGGTGTAAATTATACCACATTTTTGCTAAAACGTTCTTCAAAGTAAGCATCAGAACTAATTCTAAAAACTAGGCTATTAGAAATTCTTGAAATGAACTCCTGAAAAATTTTTGATATTCCAACACTGTCAAATTTTAATGAACTCAACTGAGTTAAGATTAAAGTCTTTCCACTTTAATATTTCTAATCGAAGCTGATGCAACAAAGTCTAAGTAAGTAGACTTACCAACTAAAATAACAGCTTAACTCAAAATTGAGAACTACTAGGAGCAGGCTTACAGTTCTCTTAGAGACACAGAAGCAGGATTTTACCTTTAATTCCTTCCCAGAAGTCATTGCGATCTCTTCGGACTGATGTAAACTTGCTTAGGTCGTGGTAAGTACTCCAAATATAAACATATTTATCTTCTGAGCCACTAACAATGTACGTAAAATCATGGCTAAATTTAAAAAAAAAAAAAAAAAAGAACCCAATACAGTTAGTATCTAGCAACAGGACTTTTTTTTTTTTTAAAAGACAGCACTGTAAGAGGAAGTAATACAGGCTGTCCCCAAAGTCTTCCTTTTACCAAATCTGGCTTTGGGGACATCCAGTATGATTCTGAAGTTTTCCTTTGGCTGGCTATGAGGTAGTGCTTTTATCCTCAGAGAAACCACCTCTACTATGTAACCAGGCCCAGACCTATGATTCATCCAAGTAGAGAACTCCTGGTATAGAAGCTTCCTACACTGGCTGGGGATTGGTAACTTCTCACATTTACAGGCTTCATGAGTTATTGGGGATGCTAGGGGATTAAGTGACTTATCCACAGTCACTCAGCTAGTATGTGTACATAGTTATATAGTCACAGTTAGTATAGAGGCCCTGAACTCAAATCTTACTGACTCCAAGACTGGCCCTCCATCTACTACTTTGGTAATTTAGCTTTATACATTATGGTTTAATTTGAAGGTTACAGATTTAGAGCCAGAAGACAGCTTACAGGCCACTGAGTCCAACCCACTTCCCTCATTTTGCAGATGAGGAAACTGAGACATATAGAGGATAAGTGACTTGCCCAGGGTCACATAGCTAGTAAGTATCTAAGGCTGATTTGAACCCAGGTTCTCCTGACTGCAAGCCCAGGCTACGAGTCACTGCACCGCACTGCCCCTCACCTCACCTACCCTACCCTACCTTACCTGAAGAGGGAAGTCCAATGGACACAATGTACTTGGATTTATGTTGGTCACTTTCAGGCTTCGGTTTTTCAGATTAAGTGACATCATTTACATAGTGCTTCCAAGTTTGTAAAAGATTTAATAAACATTACCCTGTGAAGCAGGTGTTCTGGAGGTTTATATGATCTCCGTTTTATAGATGAGGAAACTGAGCCTTTGCCCATAGTAAGTCATCTAGCTGAAGTGTTTTAGGATGAAAAGCATTCAAGGCCTCCATTGAGAGGAAGTCCCCTCTGCAAAATCTCAGAATATCCGAGCTCATCCAATCCGTAGCAGAAGCAGGCGCCGGCTGGTGCCCACAGGTTCAGTTACTTGCCTGAGACTGCCCAGAGAAGTTGGGCAGAATTGAAAGGTGCATACCTGGGGGGTACCCACTTCCAAGGCTGGAGCTCATTTCTCACCAAGAGGCCTTGGGTCCACTCCTTGCGGACACAAGTGGAAAATGCAGGGCCAGAGCCTGCAGGAGCTAACTTGGATTGTATCCTCAATCCTGTCAGAACAATCAGTATAATCTGGGGCAAGGCCAGCCTTCTCTGGACCTCAGTTTGCTCTCTCTACAAAATGGGGATAGTTCATTGCCTACCCACCACTGGATTTGGGGAGGATAAAAAGAGATCAATGATGTGAAAGTGTTTGGAAACATCAAAAATACCTGATTTCTAAGAGAGGGGGGAATGCTCTGACCCCTTCTGGGCATTGGCCATCACCAGTTTACCTGAAACTTGCTTTGATCTGGCTGCTGCTGTTGACATAACCTTTGTATTTCATAGACAATGACAAATCTCTAAGGTCATACAGTCTAATTCGGGAGTCGTTGGAGGTCACCAGGATCTAAAAGCACATCAAAGAAAAAGTTAGATTGAAGGATTAACTTTTTTGGGGGGACTTAACTCTGGGATTTGCTCCCATGGAGTAAATCCAGGAGAATGTAAGCTTGTGGAGGACAAGGATAGAGGGCTATTTCCAGTGTCTTCATAGATGTTTCTTGGAAAGACAAGTAAGGCAATTGGTGGCATTGAATTTACATGGCAAGGATAAGGGATGACAAGTGAATAGTGCAAGTTACCACTTTTATTCTTGGGATAGGCAAAGAATAGATGCCCCATTGAACACATGCATCCCATTCTTCAACAGAAGAAAGGGAAGAGACTCTCCCATAAAGCCCTGAACTTTCTAGTGGATGGCCCCGACTGTGGGCACACATTTGGGATACAAGTATACAGTACCTTATTTTCTCCAGGCAACGGTTCAATGCCAGTAATTTTTCTTCCAACCCTGTTGCGTCCTCTGGTAGATCGTACATGTATTTGCGTATGATATTTCAAATGCTAAAAGGAGATTTTGAGTGTCCCTGTTAATTGTGATAACCTTTTAAAGTAAAAGCCAACATTTTCTAACTTCCCACAATGAAACGGTCACCTCTTGATGCCACCATACCAGCAAAGCACTGACCTCAGTGTCATAGAAAATACATCGTCCATCATAGGTGCCAATGACGGCATATTTGCCATTCTGACAGAAATTGGCGGCCGTGATCAGCTTGGTTTGGCCATCCACCTCATTCCACAACGCCACTTTTTTGTCAGGAATGTTCCAGAGTCGGAGTTTTCCATCCAAGGACCCACTCAGAAAATACCGGTCGTCCTAAAAAAGAAGAGAGCTGACCTCTTACTTCAACAAGTGCCCAACTCACACAAATATTCTAATTGGGTGTGAAGCAGTGCAAGGCAATGGAAAGAGTTAAGGAAAGCACATCTGAGTTTGAATCCTGCTTTCTGATACTTCAACTATCTGGCTATGGATAAGTCATCTAGCTTCTCTGTGCCTCAGTTTACCCCAGAGGACTCATTATGAAATAGAGAAAATAGATTATAGTTGATAAAAAAAATAATAATAATAAAATGAGGAAAGTTGGATTTAATGACCTTTTAGATCCTTCTAGCTCTGAATCTATGATAATCTTTGGGAGAAGAAAAAATAAAGCTTAAGAACGAGACTAACAAAATGGGAACCGGAGCTCTTGCTGTACATAAGCTTTGCTGAAGACTTACTCATTCATGGAACTAATTTCCAAGAGGGAAGCTCATTTTTATCAACTGTCAGATCATAGATTCAAAGCTGGAAGGGATATGATAGACCAAGCCTAACTCTGTCATTTACAGGGAAGGAAAGTGAGGCCCAGAGACTGGCGTGACGTCACCCAAGGAGGTCTTTGGATTTCAATCCCAATGTTCTATCCAGGGAAGAGTTCACAGTAAAGCTTGTCTGCATTGCTCTTGAAATTCTCCACCTTGAAAACCAGATTCTTGTGAATTCTCTTAGCTAGCTCCGACAACTCCCGGAGATACCTGGTTCACTTTAACTGACACTGTAATTTAAGAAAATGTCAACTAGAACCCAACCCAGCCCCACTGAACCCAAATTTTCAAAACAAAAACTGGTCTGAAGTTCTAAAAAATTAAATAAATACAAGTTTGTCAAAATAATGAGCTGTTTGTGATGAGCCCCATCAGCCAGCCGCTAGAAGGATCCACATTCTGCCTGCCCCTACTGATGGGCATCATTGGCCATCACATGACCCCCTTCCATCTGGGAACTTTTAAGGGCTCGACGGTCAATTCTAAACAAGTATGAATAAAAGTGATTTAATTTCTATAAGAATCATCTTCATAAACACAGTCCATTATTCAACAGCTCTTACCAAGCCTTCCAAAGTTCAGAGAACAGAACTAGAGCTGGAAGGAACCACTAATGTCGGCTAGTTGAACTCCTACAGATGAGGTAACTGAGGCCCAGAGAGGGGAAGGGATTTATCTGAGGTCACACAAGTGACCTCTGGCACAGCCAGAATTTGAACCCAAGTCTTCTGCCTACAAATCCAATTTTTTTTGTTTTGTTTCATTTTTTCTCACTTAACCACTCTATTGTCCTTTGAAACAACTGATGCCTGTGCAGCCTTGCCAGAGAGGAAATTTAAGACGGAAAACAAAACAAAACAAAAAACCAAACCCCAAATCTTATTTCCCTCTCAAAAATGAGATGGACAGAAAGACAGAAGAGATGGAAACAAAAGTACATCTAAACTACATAGAAGTTCAAGGCTGCATCAAAATTACAATAAAGTTGAAGAACAGAGTTCTCAGATCATTAAGCTTTGGGTGGGGAGGGGCAGTGCAGGCCTGAGAACCAGTTCCACTTGTTGGCTTTCTTTCAACTGTATCATGGGGCGAGTATGAAGAGGCAAAGCTTGGGAAACCTCAGGACAGCTCTAAGCAGCTCACAGCTCCATCTTAAAAGGCCCCAAGAGAGTGCTACAATGCCATGAAAATATATCTTTTTTCCTTTGAGAAATGGGTTTCAATTCTCCCCACTTTCCCACAGATAGTTTGGGGTTTCTATCGTTGAAATGAAAAAGGCAAAGGATTTTAACACTAAAAAGACCTGCATTTCTAAACTTTCAAGTAGGAATGAATATACGTTCAAGAAATCCTGGTCTCAGCTTCTCTTCCTCTTCCTCACTTGCTTCTGTCTCCATCTGTCTGCCCCAAGTCTGCCTTCCTTAGCTCTCTACTCTCATTTTCTTTTAGCTTCCTTGTGGCCCTGCCCCCTCCAAATATTTTTATTTTATTTTGTTAAATATTTCCCAATTACATGTAAATTTTTTCTAACATTCTTTTTTAAAAATTGAGTTCTAAATTCTCTCCCTCCTGCTCGCCTTTCCCTCACCCATTGAGAAGGCAAGAAATATGATGTCAATTATACAGATGAAGTCACGCAAAACTTTTTTCCATATTACTATGTTGCAAAAGAAAACACACACAAACAATAAAGTTAAAAAAAAGTATGCTTCAGTCTACACTCAGAGTTCATCAGTTCTCTCTCTCTCTGGAGGGTGACAGCATTTTTTCAACATGGTTCTTGGAATCATCTTGGATCACTGTCTTCATCAGATGATGTCTTTCTGGTATCAAGTCTTTCACAGATGATCATCCTTACAATATTGCTATTACTGTACACAATGTTCTCCTAGTTCCACTCACTTCACTCTGCATCAGTTCATATAAGTCTTCCCAAGTTCTTCTGAAACCAATCTGCTCACCATTTCTTATAGCACAATAGTATTCCATCACAATCACATACCACAACTTGTTCAGCCATTCCCTAATTGATGTGCATCCCTTCAATTTCTAATTCTTTGCCACCACAAAAAGAGCTGCTCTAAATATTTTTGTACAAATAGGTCCTTTTCCCTTTTCTTTGACCTCTTTGGGATACAGACCTAGTAGTGGTATTGCTGGGTCAAAGGGTATGTAGACTTTTATAGCCCTTTGGGCATAGTTCCAAACAGTTCTCCAGAATGATTGGATCAGTTCACAACTCCATCAACAGTACATTAGTGTCCGAATTTTTCCACATCCCCTCCAACATTTATCATTTTCCTTTTTGTCATGTTAGCCCATTTGATAGGTGTGAGGTGGTACCTCAGAGTGGTTTCAATTTGCATTTCTCTAATCGGTAGTGATTTAGAGCATTTTTTTCATGTGACTATTGATAGCTTTGATTTCTTCTTCTGAAAACTTCTTGTTCATGTCTTTTGACCATTTATCAATTGGGGAATGGCTCATTTTTTTTTATAAATTTGGCTCAATTCCCTATGTATTTGAGAAATAAGGCCTTTATCAGAGAAACTTGTTATAAAAATTTTTATCCAGTTTCTTGTTTTTCTTCTAATTTTGGCTACATTAGTTTTATTTGTGCAAAACCTTTTTATTTCATGTAATCAAAATTGTTTTACTTCCTGTGATCCTCTTATCTCGTTTGGTCATAAATTCTTCCCTCATCCATAGATGTGACAGGTACATTTTTCCATGCTCTCCTAATTTGCTTATGATATCACCCTTTATGTCTAAATCATTTATCCATTTTTGACCTTATCTTAGTATATGGTGTGAGATATTGGTCTAAGCTTCATTTCTTCTAAACTACTTTCCAGTTTTCCCAGCAATTTTTATCAAATGGTGAGCTCTTACCCCAAAAGCTTGTATCTTTGGATTTATTAAACACTAAATTACTATGGTCATTTATTACTGTGTATTGTGTGAACCTAATCTATTTCACTGATCCACCACTCTATTTCTTAGCCAGTACCGGATTATTTTCATGATTACTGCTTTGTAATATAATTTGAAGATCTGGTACTGCTAAGCTACCTTCCTTTTTTTCTCATATATATTTTTTTATCATATTTGCTCAGCCTACCCATGATCAATTAATATTTCTCTAATTGTTCAGATCTGTCTTTATTTGTGTGGAGAGTGTTTTGTAATTGTGTTCATACAGTACCTGGGTTTGCCTTGGCAGGTAGACTCCCAAGTATTTTATATTGTTTATAGTTATTTTAAATGGAGTTTCTCTTTCTAGATCTTCCTTCTGGGTTTTGGTTGATAATATCTAGAAATGCTGATGTTTTCTGTGGGGCAGCCCTGCCTTTCTCTCTCCCCTTCCTCCTCCTCCACGCCATCCTACTCTGTCCCACCTTTCTCCTGTAACTTTGACATAATAGACAGATAAAGTATTTTGTTGTGTTATATTTACTGACTACTTTTAGGTTAGCTGTGCTCAAAAATCAGATAAAGCAGAAAAGGTTTTATACGTCCATCCTAAGAGCAAGAAAGTACTCGCCTATACCTGCCCCGTGCAGAGCAAAGCTGCTTTTCACTTAAGAAGTCCTCAGTTTTTTTCCCATGTGCCAGTGAGTTCAACAATCCTGGCCCTCGATTCCCAGAGGAGAGAATAACGTCAACCCACACTTACTCTTGGATGGAACGCGATAGCGGTGACAAAGTCTATATGTTGAAAACAGCAGAGGCATTCTCTTCTGGAAATGTGCCATAACCTGACGGTTTTATCCATGGAAGAAGAAAGCAAGAAGTAGTTCTAGGAGAGAAGCCAGTAAACGTTTCAGTGCTCTGATGAGAAACTATGCGCATAACACAAGGTATCTGCATATTTGCACACATGCTTCTTTCTAAGGTACTATCAGCAAAAGGATTATGGACATAACCAGAAAGGGAGATGAGTACAGGGTTCTTCTGTTGCATATTCCAGGGGTTACTAGGACAGAGCATGTGAGTGCCCGCCCAAGCACAGAAGTAACTTTTCTAGTTCCCTCACACCTATTTTCTTAGACCAAATAGTGACTTTAAAAGAAAAAAAAACCAGATTATGAACTTTTCCTCTAATTTGGCCCATCAACTGAGTGGTCACTAAAAGACTCTCTGGGGGCAGCTAGGTGGTGCAACGGACAGAGCTTCAGTCTTGGAATCAGGAGGACCTGAGCTCAAATCTGGCCTCAGACACTTACTAGCTTTGTGACCCTGGGCAAGTCACTTAACCTTGACTGCCTCACCAAAAAAGAAAAAAAAAGAAAAAGAAAAAAAAAAAGACTCTCTGTCTCCTGGAGCAACCATCACGATGCAGAAAAATGCCAGTGAGAGAACTTGCACCACCAATGCGGGGAAGACCTCCTCAGCAGCTGCTTGCCTTACTGAGTTGCCAGGGGCACTAGCGACAGGTTGGTTAAGTGACTTGCCCAGGGTCACACAGCCAGGAAGATACGGAAGTTGGACTGGAGGCCAGGTCTTCTGACTCCAGGACCAGCCACCATCCAATATACCATGTTGCCATTCCAAAGTAATGAATATGGATCATTATAAAAATGATGACTGCTTTCTGATGAGGAGAAACAAAAATCATCTTAGAATCTTGCTTGAATCTATTATCAAATTCCAAACCGAATTTTTCTACTTTAGCAAACATTTTCAGAGCATAATGTTGACACGCTGGCTGATGGATAGAGAAGAGACATTTAAAATGCATGTGGAATAAGCAACCTGAAAAATCATATACCCTAAGTAATATCATTGCTGGGTTTTCAACCCTTTCCATTTGGTGACACTCTTGGATATTTCCTGACAAAAACCCATGGTGAGAGTGAAAGGCAGCACGTGAGTGAGTCCACTCACGTTTCAGTCCGACGTGAGTTCCAAAATCGTCTATGATTCTGGAAGCTGGAGAGGGAGTTGTTACTGACGGGAGAGTGAGGGAAAATGGATGGGGTAGAAGCAGAAACAAGCCCAGGAGTTACGGTAGAGATTAACTGGGGCCACGATGTCCCGCTTGCCACAAGAACCACCAGCATGAGGTCTTAGTCACAAACTAGTACACGTGGACACTGAGCTAGAAAAAAGCCAGGCACTTTCACCATCCGTGACAGGATTTGCTAACTCAGCTGAAACTTCTCAATTAAAAGCTTGTCTGTTTTTACTCTTTAATTTCTTAACAGACCTTGCAACTTGAAGGAAAGCAAAGGCAAGACAGGTGATAAGAAACATGAACAAATGCCAAAACCACATAATTTCAGTGGTCAAAATGACCCTGGAAATTCTGAAATCATAGGAACAGCTCTCATTTCACCCACTAATTTGTGCACTGGGATGTGAGCTTCTGAGAACCAGGGCAACCCCGAGGTGGCTGCAGGGCCCTTGCTGCCTTCCTTCCCAAGTCCAACCTGGATCTGTACCTGAATAGGAATCATCTTGACTACCGCCAAGCCAGTAGCAGCGAAGGCCCCGCCAGACTTTGCTTGAAGACCTCCAGTGACGGGGAACCCTCTCCCTGTGTCCTGTTAGCAGGCCTGTGGACAGGCCTCGTGGTAATCTCCAGCTGCTACTCTATGGTCTGTGCTCGGGTACCAAGCACAGTGAGCCAGGTTACCTTTCACAGGACAGCCCTTCAAACACTGGGAGACAGCTCAGATGGTCCTCCACACCCGCTCTTAAGAAACTTCAACCAGTCTTCCCATGGTATCATGTCATCCAGCTATTCCCTTGGCCATCTTGCCATCATCTTGCCATCTGCTCTGCTAGCACCTGGACCAGGAGATTCTAGACTCCAGAAACCATGCCTCCAGTCCTTAGGGGAATGAATCCAAGAATTCATGGAGCAACTGCTCTGGGACCGAGCTTCCCCGATTGGTGAGTGAACCAGACCAGCCTGTATATGTCATCAGTGCTCTGCCGCTAGACCGTCTTGTCACCTCTCCTCTCCACTTGCTTTCCACCCTTTGCTCTGGGCACAGTAACCACATGAACAGTACCACTGCTTCTGGAAAGAGTATGTGGCTCAACAGGCCTTAGGACCGACGCACCACCCCCGCGCCTCCCCAGACTGAAACTCCCCTCCTTGGCCAGCAGTCTCCTCCTCTTCATCATCTAGCACGTCTGAAGTGGTAGAAGGGCAGGGATTGCCTCACTCTGGCATTTGTATCTCCTGTGCTAAGCACAATGCCATGGCACACAGTAAGAGCTTAATAAATGCTTTTTCATTTATTCATTCTCATTCATCCATCTCAAGGCTCTTCACTATTGTGTTTGCCCTCCCCTGGACGGTGTCTGGAGCTTGTTCATGTCGTTCCTAAAATGTGGAATCTAAAACCGAGCACAACGCTCCGTGTTTGACTAGCAGCTCTGCATACCAGCCCTGCCCCCTCACCCACCACCCTATGTGCTTTTCTTAATGTAGCCTAAGATCATAGCCAGTGCTTGAAATGAGTTACCAAGGCCAAGAAAACCACCCAAGACTTTTTCAGATGAACCACAGCATTTAGCCATGGCCCCCTAGCTTGCACCTGTAAATCCAATTTTTTGAATGCAAACTGAAATAGAATTTCATCTGATTAGATTCAGCCCAATGTTCACGCTTATATAAGATCTTTGGGGATACTGGCATCCAGTCCGCTTGCTATGCTGTCTAGCTTTGTGCCATCTACGCCGCTGATAGGGAAGCATGCCGACAACGTCTTTACCCAAGTCAGTGAAAAAATGTCAATTAGTGCAGGGCCATTCACCAAGTCACGAACATCTAGTCCATTTTTCACCGGCGTGTTCACATGAACAACTTGAGAAACATTATCAAATGCTCTGCCACAATCTAGAGCCCTGATAACCCAGGCTAGTGAGCCCATTGGAAAAGGAAACAAGGCAAGGCTGGCATTGCCTGTTTGGTTGGTGAGAAGGCCATGGGGGTGGCTCCCTGTGGGGTCACCGCTCCATTTTCTAGATGTTCACTAACCACTCCTTTCATAATTCTACATTTCTGTTACAGAGTTCTGCTAGGAATCTAAGTCAAGCTCACTGGCCTAAAGTTCACAGAGTTGACACTCTTCTGTTTTTTTGGAAAATCAGGTTATTCGCCCTTCTCCAGTTTGCCACAACCTTTCCAATATCACTGATGGTGTTTTGGCAATCACATCTGCTATTTCTTTCAGGACCCAAGTATACTGCTCTTCTGGCCTTGGGGCTTCAAACCTCTTTGCCAGCTAAGCATTTCCTTCCTACTGTCCTGCCTTCTTGGGTGCATCGACTCTCTAATTAGCTCTTTTGTTCTAACTTTTCCAGTATAAAGATCATTCTCCTTGGGAGAGACAACAGAAACAAAATTGGAGCTGAGCAGCCCTGCTTCCTTTTCCCACACTAAGGCCTTTTTTCTTGTCCTTAGCTTGCCTTACCAGCCTCAGTTTGTCCTGAGCTTTAGTACTTGTGGCACCCCTCTTACAGGACTGGGCCAACTTTCTGTATTCATCCTCTACTCTCACAGTTTAAGTAGGTCAATGAGTACCCAGGACATTTGTATTCATCTCCTTAGACTCCATCTCTTGCTTCCCCGCACCACTTCTTACTCAATGGAATTGTTTCTCTTCATGTTTTCATAATTTCATTCTTGACGGTTCCCCATCCTTCCCAGGCTAACTTCCCACGTAAGGATCATTTTAGGCCATGAGATCCTATCTATCCTCTCCCTAAATCCGCTAAAAACTTCTCCCCCCAGATCGAGAGGGCACAGCAGGCTCTCCTCTCTGCTCTTTCTCCTCTCCAAATCCTCTTCCTCACCTTCCACCATTTCCACCTCAGCAACTAGCTGCTCCTTTGGGATAAGAATCAGCTTCCACCAACTTTTGAAGCATGGAATTAGCTTCGAGCCTGGCCAGACACTTTGCACATCAGCCCCAAGAGGAGCTGCGATTTGCTGTTTATCTTGGACTTTGCATGGTGGAATCCAGATCCATTTTGATGAAGACTACAGTCATTTTTTAAAATTAAAACAGGCAAAAGGGATAGGAATATTTAGGCAGAACTAAAAGCCAATTTGTGAGACAAAAGTAACTTAAGAGTCTTAAGCTTTTGACTGTATTTTCTTTGTAGCATAACCACAAGCAATAAACACATAAACATCCACAAACCAATAAGCACATGAACATAGATTTCATCTTTTTAAATAATCACAGTAATGAAGAACATTTGTTTAGTTGTCTTAAAATCCAAATGACAGGAGCAAGGCTGTGGAGTTGAAATAAGCTTTTCTTACTTTAGACCAGGAAAGATCAAGAAGATCTGCCGTGTGTCCTTTGTATTTGCAAAAGGGCCTCTGCCGAAACGGTGCATTCTTATCATCCGGGTCCTCATCAGCACCGCTGTACACCTATTTAGGCACACAAGCACATAAACCAAGAGGCAAAATTTTACAACTTCTTACATCAAATAGACAGATGGCAGGCCCTCACCCACATAACCCTAGCAGATGTCAGTCTCCTCCCCTGCTGCCCACTGCCTTCTCCTACCTCCTTTTGTTGGGACACTGGGGATAAGCTCACCTCCTTCCTGGTTACTTCCTTCTATTCTGTGGCCCTAACTGCCAGCTGGCTCATTCTCCTAGAGACCACATTCCCCCTCTGCCCCATATTCTGCCCTACCCCAAAGTCTTGCCAAGGCCCTTGGTTGGCTTTCAGTTATGTAATCTGAATTCCCTAAATTAAAAGCAACATCTCACCCATGCTGGTTAAGCCCATCAAACAGAGATTCACGCAAGAAAAGTATTTAATTGTTCATGTAAACTGCAAATATGCTCTAAATACATACCACGTTGGTGTGTACAGGCATGTATATGTATGTATATATATGCATATACACACACACACACGTACTAACATATACTAATCTGAATGTCAAGGATCATGAAGATACTTTCAAATTTCAAAAATATGCATAGTACATTTATGGCAGGTATATGAAGCTTTACATAGTCTTAGAAACATTCTACCATTTATAATATTCCATAGCAACAGAGTTCTTAACCTTTTCTGGAGCCATGGATCACACCCCTCCTCACTTTGGCAGTCTAGTGAAACCTATGGACCCCTTCCTGCTCAGAATCATGTTGTTAAATGCAAAAAATAAAATACAGAGGAATACAAAGGAAACCAATTATGCTGAAATACAGTTACCAAAATATTAGAAAGAGACAAGTTCACGGACCCCATGTTAAGAACTCCTATTCTATACCATAACAACATTCTCCATATAAATTTTTTTTTCAGAAACAGAAAAAATTGCCTTTTAACTTTAGCTCAAGGATCCAACTATTATCAGCATGTCTCTCTCCTAAATGCCCACAGGAGAGCACTTTACCGGAAGGTTCTGCTGGCACCTAATGTCACCTATCCAAATGCCAGTTCCCTATCCTATTCCCTTAAATGGGCAATGCCTTTTGACTGCTGACTGCCGAGGGTACCACTCCTCACTCCTGCTTCCTTGTTAGAAACCTATGAGTTAGGCCGGCCTCTTGCCTCCCATCACTGGTTATCAAAGACTGTCAATTTCACCTCATCTGTCAGATCCAGTCCCTGCTCTCTGCTCCTGTTGGTCCAAGCCTCATTCAGACTCTCCACCCGCCCCCTCAACCTGGTGGTCTAGACGAGCCCCGGAAGGAGGATCTTCCCAATGCCACTCTCTCCTCCTTCCAATCCAGCTGTCAAAATTCTACCAGAATGACTGACTTCATGTATGGAGGTTTAGCTGTGCCACACCTCCGCTCAAAAATGTTCACTGGCTTCCTATTGCCCAGCATGCCAGGCCCTCCATAAAGTGGCCTCACTCTGGCCAAACTGGCCTGCATGCCTCAGTTCCCCCTGCTCCCTGTGCTTGCAATGGCCTCCCTGCCTCCTCTCTGCAGCCTTTGGGTAGCACTGTATTTTGTACCACTTCTCGTGGAACGTCCTAGCCCACTCCCTGTCAATAAGTTCCATAAATGAAGACTAGGGCTTATGTAAACTTTTGTTTTGCTCAGTGCCCAGCACATAGTAAGAACTTGATAAATGTTAGCTGAAATGAACTGAAATCCTTTCTGCAGTTTATAGCAGGAGACAGCATGGTTTAGTGGAGGAATGGGCTGAGAAAAATAAGGACACCTAAATTCTAGGTGTAACCAGATGAGTGGACTTGGGAAAGTCACATGACTTAAGCCCAAGTTTTCCCACCTCTGCTATGGGGAGTAACAACCTGTTCTACTTTACTGGGATTTTAAAGGGTTATATCAGATGGACAGCGGTCCTTTAAAAGCACTGAAGAAAACATGAAGTATTACTATCATGGCCAGAAAACATCATCGGAAGAATTGTTACATGCCATCGCTACATGACAGTAGCCACATGGCAATATCCAACCAGCCTGTGGACCCCAAACATTTACAGTCATCATCTTTGCTCTCACGGGGCTCATGGTCCAGATAAGGAGAAAAGATGAGTACTCAGGAAATGAGCAGAGGACATGAGCTATCACAGCAAGTTACTGTTTTTTGTGGCCAGGTTCTTGGAGTCTATACCATAAAGCAGACTGACACTTTTGGGTTAATATACACTTAAAGTGACCCATTATCATCACCAGAAATGGCAGAGTACATAAGTTAGTTGTGTGAAAAAATGTCATCACTCTGTTAACCAATGAAAGAACAGACAAAGGTAGCTTAAAAAAAAAGGGACAGCTGGGCAGTGATTAGACAGCATCAGATGCAGAGATCAGTCAAACCCCAGAACTGACTACACATGATTAAAGCCTAGAGCAGTGGGAGGCTTCCACAACATGAAGGGGCTGGAGCCAGGACCTCACAAATGGACATGACTCAGGTCAGTGACGAAAAAGCAACGTAACCAAGGCATGCCGGCAGGGATCACCAGCACCAAGAGAAGGCCCCAGTACCAAAAACCAGCCAAGAGTGACAATGAGAGGCAACATACTCCTGCATCGGTGTCAGATTTGGATGAATTCAGACTTTCTTGAGAAGGTGAAGGGGATACGCGTCCTAAAAAGAACAAAGAGAAATGCTGAAAAAGACACACACGTGGGAACCACTGTGAAGCCAGTATAGTCACCCCTCGTTTACCCAGCATTGTCAGGGAATGAGATAGATCCTCTGATTGAATGAGGGAATCTTTACAACTGATTTAACCTTTTACACACCAAATTTTGCCTTAACCACCTAGAATGAAAACCCAAACCTTATTCCCTGCCACAGTAAACAAAGGCTAGTAAATCCTCATTATTCACAGTGTATACAATCCTGAGGGATAAATACTGGTATGCTAAAAAAAAAAATTTAGACTGGGGCTGGACACTAAGAGACCAGGCTTCTATTCCCCGGTCTACTGCTAACTAGCTGTGTGACCTTGAACAGTACATTACTAACCCTGTCCAGGCCCCAATGTCACTCCTCTACAAAAGGAAGGTATTAGACTAGGCCACCTCTAAAGTCCCTTCCACATCTACCACTCAATGAGTCTAGAACCAACAGGGCCGAATGACCCACCCAGTGAATTGGGATATATGAACCTGGGGCCTAGGTACGGCTTTGTTGGGGTCACTAAAGGTGAATTCTCCTTCACGAGGTAGGACCACAAGATATGAAATGGCTGATAAGGGCAAGGAACAGCAAGGACTTGTTGCACTCTCAATCTAATCTGACCATTTCTTGACAATTCAGGTGATTACTACAAACATCAGCTATTACACTGGATTGTGCTTACTTTAGGGTTTGAGTAGCTAGACTGTTGGACTCTGAGAGTCGCTAAGTCTGCTGTTTCCTCCAGGGCAGCCTGCTCTCTTCTCCACTGTCACTGGGCCTTGCCTTCCTGCCTCTTCCTCTTTTGCACCCTCAGGTGTTTGGCCCCTGGCTCTCTCATTTAACCCAAGAGCAAAAGGTTGCCAAAGGAAGGCCCATCACCTTGGATACAACATCTGGGCAAGTCCTTTTTAGTCTGTTGACTGAACGCTATTCTGTTGGGTTCCCAAGGGCTCGTTTTCATTTCCTTCAAGCTAAATGTCTAGGGTGGAGGCTGTTCTGGCAAGGAGCAGCTGCTACAGTGAGGGGACTTTGGGGGAGAGACAAGGTAGCACGTTACTGCACTGAGAAATCCAGGCAAAATAAGGCCCCTGTTTAAAGAAAACACCAGCAGAAAGTGTCAAGATACCTTCTGTATTGTATTTCATTCGCATGTTGTTGAAATAATCAAAAGCATTTTTTAATGCCCATATCCTCACAACGTTGTCTTGTCCAGCTGAAGCAAGTAATCGTCCACAGTGTGAAAACTTCATGGTCCAAACCGCTCCCTAGCAAAACAAAGGAAGATGCAAATTTAACAGGGAAAAAGTTGACATAGCCACTACACTTTGGTCAAATATAAAGTTAGAAACTATATCCTTTGGGATGTGTGCTAAAATACAGTATACCATCACTACCATGAAAGGTGGCAAGTTTGCCCATTGTTGTGGCAATTCAAGGACATGTGGCAGTGATAGAAGGGAAGGTAGAGACAGTCAGGCTATACCAGCTGGCACCCAACACAACCTAAGACTAGAAGACCCAAGGCCTTGTGTCCAAGGTACCACAAGCCCAGCTGAGCTTCCTAAGTGGTTTGAAAACACAAATGATTAATGATCCTAGTCTCAAAGGGGATGGGGGGGGTGGTCCTAGCACTCCTGGGGGGGGAGGGGTCAGAGAACTAGATTTCCCATTTGAGGAGCAGCACCCCTACACTCTGGGGCTGATTATGGATAAGGGGGCAGGATGGGGATTGTCCTAGTCACTTCTCCAGAAGCAGGGTTTAATACCATGCGTCCTACTATCCCTAGGAATTGGCATGAGGCAAATGAGCCCACATGCTTCAAATGGACAATCTTCAATTAGGTTCAGGGTAAATAATGTTATGGCAAAGAGCACTACAACCAAAGTCTCTTCCTAGTTTTTTAGGCAGGCAAAATCTCTTGGCAAGAGTCGCCAAACTGTAGAAAACATCATTCAAAGCATTACTGCTAGCTTTATGGGGAAGCACTGATCACCAGTCAGATAGCCAAGCAGCCTCTCCATCTGTCGTGTAGCATGAGATGCTGTTGGAGGTGACAGGGGACCAGCCTCAAGATACTTTTGCCCATAACATATAGGTGTTGCTATACAGTGACCTTTCGTAAAGTCTCCATCAGAGTTGAATTCTGTCTTAACAGCTGAAAGTAGCTGGGTTTGATGGCAGCTGTGCCCTGGACACTGAAAAGGTGTTTCAGGATCCTGAAATGGCCATCGGTACTAAAAAGTTCTGCACTGTCCTTGGGTGAGGAAACAGATCCTGCTTGCAGTAAACAATGTTTTCTTAAAATGACTCAAACCCGTAGTTTGCTCAATACTTTGCTTACTTAATAAAGAAATTTATTCAAAGATTTAATTATTATACAGGAAGAAAGTTTCAGAAATTCAGTGTCACAACTAATAAACCCCTCTTTTCTTGAGCCTGGTTCAAGAAATCCATGTTCCTATGGAAGAAGGCAAGTTTTTTTTTAATCCACCTCTTTTTCACTGAAATGAAATTAATCTTAAGAAATCACTTGAAAAAAAAAAAGTCACTTGACATCTTGATAAAGATCTTGCCAAGTGAGGGCACTAAGAGGCATCTAAAGCATGGCAGCTGAGTTAAAAAGATTGGGGGAAGGCCTGGCTAGATAGCAGTTTGTCTGAAAAAGAGCTGGAGTTTTCAGAGGACAACAACAGTTCATTAGGAGCTGGCAGTGGGATGGAGCAGCCGCTGCACAAAGGCTAAGGTAGCGAGTGATCTTGGGCTATGTCATGAGTGGCAGATCTCCTGGGATGAAGGAGGTGATGGTCCTCTGACCTCAGCCCTGCTCAGACCACATCTGAAGCACTGGGTTCAGTTACAGGGGCATCAGTTCAGGCTGGACAGTGCTTAGCTGGGGGAGGGCAACCTGGATGGGGATGGGCCTGGAGTCCTGTGCTACATAAGAATCAGATGAAGGAACTGAGCACAGTTAGCCTGAAGCAGAGAAAACTCCAGGGGAACATGACAGCCATCTTCATGTATCTGATGGAAGTGGGATCACACTTGTTACATCTGGCCCCAGAGGGCAGGACCAGGCAGAAACTCTGAAGAGGCCAACATACCTGGATATCAGGAATCGCGTCTTACCAGTTAGAACTGCCCCGAAGTCGACTCGGCTGCCTTGGGAGATGGGCTCTCCCTCGTTAGAGGGCTTTAAGCAGAGGCTAGATGAGGACCTGGCAGATATGTTGTTGTTTTTGTTGTTGGGAAGCTTAGTGATGCCAGAGTGGATCATCACTGGACCTGGAGTAAAGACTCATCTTTCTGAGCTCAAATCTAGCTTCAGACACTTCCTAGCCATGTGACCCTGGGCAAGTCACTTAATCTCGTTTACCTCAGTTTCCTCATCTACAAAATGATTTGGAGAAGGAAATGGCAAACCAGTCCAGATCCTTGCCAAGAAAACCCCAAATGGGGTCACCAAGAGTCAGACACGACTGAAATGACACAACAACAAAACTGACCTTGAGATCCCTTCCAAGTCTAAAATTTTGTGAGCTTACCATGTGTTCACCACTAAGATCTTGAACCACTTTGATCTGTTCGAAGTCATAAGGTCCTTTGAATCCATGGGCCGCTTTGAATTTCACTGGTCTTGTGTATGGCATTCCTTCATCATCACTTGACGAAGGATCATCTTGATCAGTATGGAACACTGAAGAGGAAAGAGAAAGAGAAATGACCGCTAGTCATGATCTCAAAGCAATCACCTCCCACCGTCTAGATCTACTGCTTAGGACGACACTTCAGTGAACTTAGCTCCACGGTGCAGAGTGCTGGGCTTGGAGCCAAGAAGACTTGAGTTCAAATCTGGCCTTGGATGCTTACTAACTGTGTGACCCTGGGCAAGTTACTTAACCTCTGCACTTCAGTTTTCTACCATTTGTAAAACAGGGATAATAATAACACTTATCTCACAGGGTTTTTGGTGAGGATCACATGAGATAATATTTGTAAAAAGGACTTTGCCAACCCTCAAATCCTATACAAGACGTCCCAAAAGTCTTAGGGCAGGTTTAACCTTTAATAGCTTCAGAAGAGGAAGTGCTACAAGATTACGAAAAGCAATATTTGAAAAGTTAATTATTAAAATGTCTGAAATATTACTCAGTTTCTTATTCGAATCCAACCTATCGCCTTGTGCAATACGTTGCTCTAATTCATTTTCGAACTTTGCAAAATCTTTCATCAGCTGCTGCTGTTCAGGGACTGGAAGGACAGCATTTGCAAACTTCGCATCCAAAGAATGTGGCACTAATACCTACCGGACAGTTTTGATGTGACCCCTGCCTCCCCCACAAGAAAATGGGATGGAAATGGAGACCAACCAGGTGACTGAAGTGGCCAAACAGGAGGACTGCCTCGACTGAGCCACCAGTCTGAGAAAGGGTCACCCTGAAACTGTCATCTATGCAATGCATAATGACAGGCTGCTCCAGCTTGTTAAAATTAAAATAAAAAAATTGTTATTCACAGTTCATAAAACTAAATAAGCATAAACAACATTCAAATAATTAAACTTTCAAATGATGTTTGTGTTAAGTTTGTAGGATTCATATGTCTGAAGTTACTAAAGCATAAAACTGCACTAAGACTTTTGGGACAACCTGTGTAAATGCTAGCTATTACTATTATTAATAACAATAAATTTGAACTTTAAACTTCACAGAAAGATACTAAAGTAAAAATAATTTCTATTACTTTAAAATGCATAATGCCTAGAATTTGTGCAGATCTCATAATTCTACTTCTTAATGGGAATATTAAAAAGTTGGCCTTGACCTAGGTTCAGGTCCTGCCTTGGACACACACTGTGTGACCCTGGGCAAGTCCCTTACTTCCCCCTTCCCCTCTCAGTACCCTAGGCAACTCTCTAAGCAGATAGGATACATTGGTTAAGGGAGCTTCCTTATCCAGGGATCCTTACGCTAATGAAATTCTAAGTCTGATCCAAAATCCTGATGGGAATGACAATTTGTAGCTGCCATCACATAGGTGGCGTGGCACAGCACACGACAGAGGAAGACCAGGATTCCAGTTGGCCTCTGCCACTTTCAGGCCCAGTCAGGTCATTTTTCTGGATCCCAAGGCAATCACTAACACTTCAGACAGAGCAGAGCTGCTGTTCGTGGGGAGCTCACAAGCACCCCAACAAAGTACCCAAGGCACATTAATGCCATCTTCGTCTTCACACACAGAACTCGGAACTGAACCCACATTTTCCAACTCCAAATGCAGGCTCTTTTGGCCATGTCATGGTTACCCCAGATATTTTAAGACAAAATATTCACGAAACAACAAAGTCAAATGATTTTTTTTTTTGCAAGTGGAGACCATTAAACACTTACTAATGAACCACGTATGTTGCTCAGACATCATGTCTTCAGCCATAAAGTAGTTTATACACAAAGGAGATAAAATGTATATAGCCACAAAGGTATCTAAACCTCCCCCTCATTAAGTGCTTTGGGGATGGGATTATATTATGCAATTTCTTTAAGTAATGGAATTCTTAAAAGAGTGACCAAAAAAGCCTGATTCTTTCTCTCAGAATTCATGTGGGAAGAAATCAAACGATATGCTAAGATGGTAAATTTGGAGGAAGTGAGTGGAATCCTCAGTCTAACTAACCTCTAAAACATTCTTTCGCTCACCTTCGTCTCGAACGCTTTTAACTTTATTTACAGCACGCTCGCCATATTCTTCAGCAAGGTGTTTGGCTCTTTTCACTGATTTTCCTAAGAACTTTTTGAGCTGAGTCCTAAAAAGCAAAAATGATGCCTTATTAATTCATTGGGTCTCCAGAGTACAGCAGCTCATGCTTGCATCTCTATCCATGCCCTCTAACCACTTAAAATGCTGAGGTATAACTTAACATAAATGAGTAACAACCACATCCCAGCAGCCCATGCCGTCGGGACTAGGTGCATTCACCCTGGATTATAAGGTCAACCTAGAACATCTCTATTCATTTGTCGAAAGTCTGCTCTATGGAAGTGTGTCAATACTACACTGTGACACGGAAAAGGAGGCGATGGCTTTTCTTCCACACAAAATGGGGAAGATCTCTTTTCCTATCTGGGTTCCTATAGTTCAATACTGAGCTGGGTTGAGTTAGCTCACTTTGCTCACTGCAATTCCACTTCTCCCCCCCGGCCCCACCTTCTCCCTCTTTCACATTTCTCACACTCTATTTCATACTGCTACAACTGTGTTCAAAGTTCTCCTTAGACTGTCAAAGCTCCCTGAGGGCACACAGTAGGTGCACAGGAAATATTGGCTGAATTACTTGTTGAATTTTCATGGTTGTAAATCTCATGCCCAATTGTCTATCGGGCTAATAAGAACAGATCAACATTCACAAAAGTGTTTGATTTGTTATACAAAAACCACGAGTCTATTATGCTTTAGCTCACATTGTTATCCAAACCTAGGGAAAACCCAAATGGCTGGCCTATGTGACTTGATTTCAAGGCACCATCATTTTACCCAGATACAATTACCTAAACCAGACATGTTGTCTGAGAAGTTTACCAGATTTGATAACATCAGCAACATCTATTGAAATGATGATAAACACAGTCTTTTAACTGTTTTCTTGCACACTTAGTTATACGCCATTGGTACCAATTTATAAAGTTATAATTATATAAATAACTATATAAATTATGTTATATATAACTTACATAAATTAAATAGATAATTGTATAAAATTTTAAATTTTTTCAAGTCAACTCTTGGTAGGATTATTTTAAAAACAATCTTGGCTCACTTTTTTTTTTTTTGAACATCCATTTAGATGTGATGGAAGACTAGCCAATAAGCCCAGCCCTTATGATCGCGCACAGAGTGCCCAGCTTCCATAATAATCCCCATGAGGACCAAGAAGCACATTTAGATATTCTGTATCTGATCCCAGTCTGTTAACCATGTGAACAGGCAGACTGTTGATTGGTGAGTACCAAGAACTGGGTTGCACTCAGAAGGCATGAGTCCACCAAAATCTGCCTTTTGGGCTCAATTTCTTCCTGCTTGACTGAATACCAGGGAGAGAAGAAACAATGCTACATGAGGAGAGGCCTTAGGCTCTCCCAAACCAACGCTGACGTGCAACCGGGGAACATGGGCCTCTCTGCTCATTGCCACTCTTGAGTTTATCTTTCGTGCTTCTTTCTAGACAAAGGAGATAGGAGGTCACAACCTTGTCAACTTTGAGAGACCATGTGAGCAAACCACTAGGAGGTCTGAGAGTGGGGACCATGCTGGGTTTTGTAGGCAGCCAGCCCAATACTGATGCCTCTCAAGGAATGCCTTCTCTGTCCCAGGCCAGCAGTATTGAGACATAGTTCCATCCAGCAGCTAGGCAGCATTTGGATGAAAGAATACATGAATAAAAGCATTTATAAAGTACTTCCTATGTGCAAACCACTGTGCTAAGCTCTGAGGATACCAACAGAAAACTCCAGTGGTCCTTGCCGTCATGGAGCTCCCATTCAAATGGGGAGACAGGGCCGCTGCAAGTCAGACAGGAAGGTACCATGGTCCTCAGATAGTAATGCCACTTCTTCAATGGCATTTCCACTAGTAATCATGTGACAGTGGCAAGGACTAAGAACTTCCGGATTTTCAGTAGCTCTGCTCATAGTACTTGCAGGAACAGTTGCCAGGCCACATGACCCCAAAGTTCATTTCTTAAGATGATGGCCGAGGGCACTGGGCTGGAAGAAGTGCTACTCCCAAGGCTCCTGGGTTGTCCCCTTCCGAGTCTGAGAGGAGATGGTGGTGCAGGGAGTGGTGGTTGGACTTGTCTGGGACATGCTGCTTCCTATCTCTCCCTCAAGGATCTTGGCTACTTCCCCTAGGTTGGCTTGCCTGCCCCAGAAAGAGGAGGTAGGTTGTAGTTTGGTAGTCTCCAGTATCACATCTCACTGTACCACCTTCTGAGAAGGGTCCAGGCAACTCTACTGCGCCACATGAAGACTACAGCCATCTCCTAGAAGATCAATAGTTCCTGACTAATGCACTGTTGGTGGAGTTGTGAACTGATCCAGCCATTCTGGAGAGCCATTTGGAACTATGCCCAAAGGGCTATAAAACTGTGCATACTCTTTGATCCAGCAATACCACTTCTAGGGCTTTACCCCAAAGAGATCACACAAATGGGAAAAGGACCCCCATGTACAAAAATATTTATAGCAGCTCTTTTTGTGGTGACCAAGAATTGGAAATGTAGGGGATGCCCATCCACTGGGGAATGGCTGAACAAGTTGTGGCATATAAATGTAATGGAATACTATTGTGCTGTAAGAAATGATGAGCAGGTGGACTTCAGAAAAACCTGGAAAGACTTATATGAACTGATGCTGAGTGAGGTGAGCAGAACCAGGAGAACGTTGTACACAGCAACAGCCACGCTGTGTGATGACTAACTTTGATAGACTTAGTTCTTCTCAGCAATGGAAGGATCTAAGACAACTCCAAAAGATTCATGATAGAAAATGCTATCCACATCCAGAGAAAGAACCATGGAGTCTGAATGCAGATGGAAGCACACCATTTGCTCTCCTTTTCTTCTGTTGTTTTGTTTTATTTCTTCTTTCTCGTGGTTCCTCCCATTGGTTCTAATTCTTCTATACATCATGACTAATGTGAAACTATGCTTGATATGAATGTATTGCCATCTTGGGGAGGGGGGAGTAAAGGGGGGAGGAGGAGAAAATTCACAACTCAAAATCTTAATGGAAGTGAATGTTGAAAACTAAAAATAAATTTAAAAAAAGATCAATGGTTCCTGAAGGGCTCTGATTGTCAGGAACATGGGGCTATTTCTGTGTTTACAGAACTCGCTCCTCTTAGGGAAGAACAGAGCTGGGAAGGCAGAACCCGATACTGACCCCCCTGCCCTGGATTATGAACTTGTGAGGCTAATGTCATATAGAAACTGAGTTAAGTCTGACTGCTCTACTCCTAAGGATGGAGATAGTCTAGGGGGTAACATATGCACAAGTGCTGGGGACAGAAAAGCTTATACTTTTATACTTGTTATATCTCCTAAGTAAATATTCTTTTGTAGACGTGAAGTGATATTAACTGGTCAAATAAAACTGGAATACTAATCACTGGTAACTAACAGCGGGGGGGGGGGATACACTGGAACGGGGGCTTGAGCCAATGGCTCTAGAGAAAAGAAAACCCATCCTCTTAAGGGCACCTCTGAAACTCTGAGGGGGAGATGTAGCCGGTTCAGTGAGGCCAGAGCAATCACTACACTGGTTACAAAGGTTGTTCTCCCATGAAAAATCAATGAGGGAAAGGGCTGCAGAGGGCATCATGACTCTGGGCCTTCTCCCATCCTCCACCCCCAGTCCCCGGGAAATAATAAGGGCTTAGAAAATGATGGTTCAAAGTGTGAATAAGAAGGAAGGGATGGGTACAAGAGAAATTTCAAAGGAAGGACTGATAGGATTTGGTGATTGGTTGGTTATAAGTGATGAGTAACAGGAAAAAACTCTAGGTAAATTCCAAGATTTTAAACTTGGAAACAGTTGTACACAGAAAAGCTGAGAGGGGATCAGGGTGGGGAAGGTGGGGTGGTGACAGTTTTTTAGGGTACGATGAGGTTGATGTCATGTCATGATATGCAAATGGATATATCTAGCAAGCAGTTGAAGATATGAGACTAAACCTGGGGTGAAGGTCGGATACAGAGATTGGGGATTTCTTAGCATAAGAACAGATGATTAAGAACCATCAGATAGAATCGGTTTGCCAAAAGAAAAGGTCTAAGTGCCAGTACATAGGTATGCCTGTCTTGGCCATGAGGGTGACTTGGAATTAGGGTTTAACCCTTTGTTATACATGGGAGGGTCTGATGTGACTCTTGTTCATTAGCCAGAGAAACTGGATCACCAGAGCTCTTTCTAGTACCTATGTTAGTTCTGAACCCATATCAGAGAGAAATAGAATAAGACAGAGAGGGTAGTGGAAATTAGCATCAATGACAGTGTCAACCAGATTCTGGGGAATATGAAGCATCGTTTGCCAACCAATGCAGCCTGTCCCTGAGGGACAAACAAGTTGAAACAAACACTGGAGACTGCAGTTACAAGATGGAAGCCAATGGCCTCTGGAAGCAAGGAGGTGTAAAGCCTAGAATACGAAGTGAAGATGAGCTAATGCCAGGAACTCTGGCTGCCCAACAAGGTCTCAAACACCACACTTGGCAGCTAGAAATCCTGGGACCATAGACAAAGGCCTTACTTCCCATTACTGGGGCTTTAGGCACTAGACCGAATACCAAGAGGGCCAGAGCACCAAATGTCAGGCTTGACATGGAGTCAAGTGCACGTGCCAAGTGAGGATTATCTTCTGAGTATGCATCATCCCCTCTCATTGTGGGCTAGGATGTAATTGCGGAGCTGACATCACTTGTAGCTCATTCTCATCTTGGGGGCCCTGGATTTCTGGGCTACCACATCTCCTCCTGACCCCACCGCCAAGTGTTTAGAGAATGAACATTGCACTTACATCATCTCCATCCGCACAGGATCCTAAGGAACCCAGAGGTTCAATCCAATCTAACAAGTATTTATTAAGTACTTACTATGGGGCACAAGGCACTGTGATGGGCACTGGGGATACAAAGACGACTCTACTGTGCGAGGTGAGGGGCACTGGCGATATAACATGCAAACTGAGAGGCACATACATAATTACGTGAGAAAGAGAGTATGGTGGATGCTAAAGAGGAAAGGCTCCTTATTGGGAGGGGCATGGGAGCGCAGAGTTTTGCTATCAAGCTTGTACCTTCTGTTCCCCCAATCCCAGTGACTCTGAGTCATCACCTTAAGGGACCAAAGACCCTGTCCCCTGCTACCTCTCCTGACTCTCTCATCCCCATTTAGTTCAATCACATTGTACCCTACCGCCTTTCCTTCTCTGCCCTTTCAAACAATGGCTCAATCATCAACAAGCTTCCTTGCATCTTTTGTCTCTTCTCCTCACACTCTTAATTCTCTTGTAGTCGAGGAAACTTGTATCTCTCTGAGACACCTCTGATGCCTCCCACTTGCAAGTAACCCTACACACTAGGCCAGGAGGTGGGCTCACAGTCCCCCCTTCAGCCCAGCCTCGGCCTTTGTCCGCTTCCCCTCATGCACTGTGGCCTCCTCAAGCCCCGTGGCCTAGAGCTTCACTGTGACTGATTCACCACATACAGAGGTGGCCACATGAAATCTCCTTGTCACCTCCAACTATGACACCTCAATGAGCTTCACCTCCGAAAGTCACCTCTCTGATCACTATCCTCTGGCCTTCCATTACTTCCTCATTCCTCTTCAAACTCTTTTTTTTTTTTTACCATCCCTGCAACTTCCAGTCCCTCCAGCCTGTCCTGTTCTTCCTATCTATCACCACTATTCTAGCCTTCTATTCTTTTCAAAGATAGATTCCTTTTCCCCTCTAATATAATGTCATGCCTGAACTGCTGATTCCTTTAAAATTATATATATTTTTCCTATTGGCAAAATTCCATCTTCTCTCTCCCCTCCCCATGCTGAGAACAAAGGAAAAATAAAACCTTTGTTACAAACATGTGTAGTAAAGCAAAACACATTTCTGCATTGGTCATGTCAAAAAAAAAAAAAACAAAATCCAAAACAAAACCAAAAAAGTCTGTTTCATTCTGCACTCTGAGTCATTCCCCTCTTTGGCAAGAGGTAGGTAGTGTATTCCATCATTAGTCCTCTGGAATCAAGGTTGGTCGCTACACCGCTCAGAGTGCCTAATTCTTTCAAATTACTATATTGTAATACTATATCTGTCATTACTATATTGTTGTCTTTGTATAAATTATTCTTCTAGCTCACTTCAATCTGCATCAGATCATTTAAATCTTCCCAGGTTTCTCTGAAACCATCCCCTGCATTATTTCTTAACTCCAATTCATTGATTCTCCACTGAAACTCCCAAACTAGTAGACAAAGTCACACGTCTGGGTTAACTGGGTCCAATACACATTCATGATACCAAACTGCCAAAAGGGACACTCCATGCTTACATGGCTCTGTCTCACATGCCTCAATTCCTGCCCAATCATGTCTGTCTTATCATTCTGGCCCCATCTGGCACTACTCACCTTTGTGAACTCAATGTTCACAAACTGTCCTCCTACCTGTTCCTCAAATAGACTATATCATCTCTTGTCTCCTTACATTTGCATAAGTTGTCCTCCACTTTAGGAATGCATTCTGCCCTTCTCATCTCTGCCTCTCAGAATTCATCTCCCTTCAAGGCTTGGGGCAAGTGCCTTATTCCATGAAATCTCCTCAATCAAGACTTCTGCTTGTCAGCACACCCTCCCCCCCAACCACCATTTTCTTGTATGAGACTTAATGGTGTTAATGATATTAATACTGCCCCCTCACACCACAGAGAATCTAAAGCTACTTGAGGGCAGGAAATTTTTTTATTTGTGTCTCTGTAGGTCCAGAATCTTGCAGAGGACAGACATTTAATAACGGGTGGTTGAATTGAATCGATCAAGCTTTCATGTCTCGGAAATCTACAAGCATTCGCCTCTAGATTCTGCTGAGATGGAAGACGGCTTCCTGCCTTCACAGCAGTTATACAATGGAGCAGATGGGCTCAGCACAAGCTCTCTCTTGGTTACAAATCAGGCACTCTTTTTAAGCTGCTAAGGAACCTTTCAGTGCATTGAAAGCTTAATGACTAAAGTCCACTAGTTTTTTCATGTTTGGAAAAAGCTCAGGAATATTCTACACATGAAGGGAATCTGGCTTCAACACAGACCAAGGGGAGAACTGCCTAGTTTCTGCCTTCCTCTCCCAAGAGCATGAGTCAGAAGAGAAGAGGAGGCATGTGGATGGCTTAGGAGCTGTACCACTGGAGGGAGTGCCCATGGTGGGATCACAGACCCACTCAAGTACACGACTCTATACAATTGGTGATAAACTTCTGGCACTCATCACTTCCAGAGGCAGGCCAAAGTTATAAGCTTAGAAAAAGCATTCATAAACCCCTCTTCCCCCATAGCAATATTCTTAATCATTACCCTGGCAAAAATTTCCTGAAGTCAAGAAAACTACTCAGCATGGCTCTGGCTGTATCCTTAAAATAAAAAGAAGGCCAGTCCTTGATGAACTAACTATTTCAAGACAATCCTCACTTTACATAGGTGGACCGTTCTAATAGACTGTTTCATCAGAACTCTATGTAAAGATGTGGCTCTGCTTTCCTCATAAGAGTACAGTGCCAGCATGCCATGCAGGGCAGTCTTGTGCCAGTGTCTCCCATATCTCAAACGATTCCAAGGTTCTTCAGAGACCTTGAGAGTCTCCTTGCATAACTTCTTCCTATTCTCCATGTAAGCGGTTGCCTTGTGAGTTCTCCATAAAATAGTCTTTTAGGCAAACATACATTTGGCATTTGAACAATATGGCCAACCCATTGGAGCTGCGCTCTCTGCAATCAAGTTTGAATGCTTGGCAGTTCAGATCGAGAAAGGACCTCAGAGTCCAGTACCTTACCTTGCAAGGTGATCTTCAGTGATTCCATTTCCTGGCATGCCGCTGGTAGACTATCCAGGTTTCACAGGCACACAACGGGGTCAGCACAATGGCTCTGTAGACCTTCAGTTTGGTAGGCAGTCTAATACTACTTTTCTTCTACGCTTTCCTCTGGAGCCTCCCAAACACTGAGCTAGCTCTGGCAATGTGTGTGTCAACCTCATCATCTATGTGGACTGCCAAGGTAAGTGAACTTACTGTTTTATTATTTTATTATTTAACTATTTTATTATTTAATAGTGAAGTAGTGTTATGGAGAAGGTAGTCCACTTGTACATTTTCATGAAAATCTTCCAGACAGGTAAGGTGACCTGGGCCATTATGGAAAAGAAGTAGAATCTTGAAAGAAATGCTATTTTCATTACTTCAGGAATGAAGCAGTGCATAAACCATTTTTCAAAGATGAAAAAGGTTCCCCAAGCCTTAGGGGTGGCGAAGTAACAATGGCCAGGTAGCGTTGCCTGGCGGATTCCTTTCAATGCTCTGGGATTTTCTGCTTGGTACACAAGAACAGGTTGTAATGTGCAGGTGCAGATACATTCTCTCTAAGTAGAAGACTAACTTTATTTTTAGAAGCTTTATGCCCCTGCATAGTTTCTCTCCCCCACCTAGTTAGAGGCTCAAGATGGCATTCTCCTATAAAACAGGCCAGTTTTGTCTACTTTTAAGATTTGCTGCAGCAAGTAGGGACCTTCATCTATTATTTTTTGCAGGAACTCTGGGAACTTCTTTGCTGTGTCAATAGCTCCGCTAGCAGCCTCTCCTGACACGTGCACATCATGAAATCCTGTGCAATTTTTAAATTGTGCAAAGCAACCAGTGCTTGCCGTAAATACCTATGTTCCTTTTTCAAAGGGGCTTCGAGCCTTGGCTTGAATTGTCATCAAGCTTAAAGGAATCCTCTTCTGAGCCTGGGCTTCTATCCACATAGTCAATCGTTTCTCCCTCACTAGAAATAGCACCTTCTCTTTGTTTCAACAGGTAAGTGGCCTGCATGCAAGCACTGCCTTCTGTGCATGCCTTCACTATGGTGTTCACATGCTACTAATCATAGTTTTTGGTCTCCTTCATATTTCTCATTTTTTTCATTTTTATTTCCAAGTCTATTGGCTTACATTGACCAGACGGTTCACTTTTCCCCTCAAGAGCACTTTGCCACCCACCATGGTGAAAACGTAAGGATCACTACTGAACAGAGGAGAGAGGTACAGAATCATTCACTGTCTGCACGTGGGAAGTGACCTCGTGATGCTTCTCACCTTCCCACCACCATTTATGTTGTCTGGCATTGGCTTTGAGTAAGACATTTTCATAATTTTTTTGGAATGGGGATTTCTTTCAGAATTCTTTATGTAAAGTCAAATTTGTGTAATGCAAATTTATGTAAAGTAAGAACTGTCTGTATTAAGGGATGAAAGAAATATATGATTGACTTTTAAGGCTGATTCCTTGACAGTTCCACCAAACATGCTTGGTGCTACTGGCAGCTCGGTGGTGCTGCCTGGAGTCAAGAAGAACCGAGTTTAAATATGACCTCAGACACTTACTAACAGTTACGTGACCCTGCACAAGTCACTTAACCTATGTCTCCTCATCTGCAAATTGAGGATAATAATAGCACCCACCTCCCAGAGAAGTCATGAAGACCAAATTAGATAATATTTGTAAAGCACTTAGCACAGTGCCTGGCAACACAGTGTTATATAAATGTTACTAATATAACTGCTATTATACCACTATTATTGTTATTGTTATTGTTACTGTCAAGGAAAGAAAACTGGGGAAAATGCAGATGTCACAGAGTACAGCGATTCATATTTTTTTTTATCACTTCCCAGACCAAACTTACGTCTTCTGTTTTAGCCTTCCGCCGTCGGTATCTGTTTGCTGGGACTGGATCTTCTCTTCGTCATCTGACTGTGCTGCATCATTACTGGAGAAAAAGAAGAGAAATAAATGATGCCGTTTTTAAAAATGTGTAACCACCATCTTTTTCATTTGACCTTTACCCTCCTCTAGAACGAGTCCTCAGCTGCCAACTGTCATGTAGGTTTTCCCATTATTAAGGGGACCAGGAGGCTAAAAGAGGTCAGAAAATCTGGAGGCCTGTTGTCTAATCCAGGGTCCAGTGTAATAATAATTACAATAATGACCTTCCTGGAGCACCTTAAGCTTTGCAAAGCACTTTATCAACACAATCTCATCTGAGCTTCACAACAGCCCTGTCAGATGGGAGCTCTCATCCTCCTCATTTTACAAATGAGGACAAATCAGACTGAGTGAAGCTGCGATTTGCCTGGAGTCCCAAAGCTAGTGAGTGGCAGAGGAGGACGAGATTCCTCCCAGCACACGGGCTGTCTAGTGGACATCCCTCTTCACCACATGACCAGACATTTCCCTGATAATATACAGACTCTCCCACGCCCCATCCTTGTGATGTAAATTGTTTCTGAGACAGCTATATTTTTCTCCAAGTCAATTAGCTCCCCTAAGGTCATTTCTTTGGCCTAAAGAGATGACAAATTAACCAAGATCACTGGATCCTAAAGTCAAATTTCCAAGAGGAATGCACTAAGTCCACTGGAACTGTGATTCTCCCTCTAGTCTAATAGATCAATGACATTTCATTAGGTGGCTCAGTGCTTCTTTTCCAGTTTTAGAAATTAGACCTAAACCAAAGATGACTCTTAGGTCCTTTTCCATTCGAAATCCTAGGAACTATGAACTTCATGCACTGATTCAAGTATAGGCTATTCTCCTAAAAGGCCATCTCTTTACAAGGAAATACATACATACATACATACATACATACATATGTTTATACTTTAAGATAATTGCAGTTATATTAAAATAAACGTTTACTGTAAATTGCTTTCAATTCAAATCAAGACATTTTATATATTTTCATTAAAAAAAAGATTTTGACAAAACAAATAGATGGACTACATTTTAATTCCAGATATATAAACTATGCAGAATAAAATTAAAAACTAAAGAAACTGAAAGCATATAAAAACATTTTCTATGTATTGATTGGTTTCGCTAAAAACTTTTCTTTTTTCTTTAAAAAAATTCTTTATTATAGGGAATGGCTTAGGGGATGCTGTTCAATTGGGGAATGGCTGAACAAGCTGTGGTATTTGATGGTGATGGAATGCTATTGTGTTATAAGAAATGACAAGCAGAATGCTTTCAGAAAAACCTAGGAAGATTTATATAAACTGATGCAGAGTGAAGTGAGCAGAACCAGAACACTGTACACAGTAACAGTAATATTGTATGGTGGTCAACTGCGAATGTCTCAGCTATTCTCAGCAATACAATGACCCAACACAGCTCCAAAGGACTCATGATGGAAAATGCTATCCGCTTCCAGAGAAAGAACTATGGAGTCTGAATACAAACTGAAGCATACTTTTTTACTTTCCTTATTTTTCTTGTTCGTGTGTGTGTATGTGTGTGTGTTTTCTTCTGCAACAGTGCTGATATGGAAATATGTTTTGCATGACTTCACATTTACAAGAAACATCACATTGCTTGCCTTTTCAATGGGTGGGGAGAGAATTTGGAACTCAGAATTTTTAAAAATCAAACTTGAATTTTTTCACATGTAATTGAGAAATACTTAATGAAATAAACAAAAAGTAGATTTTTTAAAAAAGGGATGGTTCTCTGCGTGTGGGAGGGGCAAGAGGAGGGATACAGGGGGAATTTTAGGTGGTACAAAAACAAGAGATGGAAATAAAAATTTATTTGAAAAAATTAACAAAATAAAGTATATGAAAATCCAGCAGTATACCCCAACCATCCATGCACAGGCATCCATCCATCTCCTATCTTGACCTGCACCTTGCCCATCATTAGTGCTTAATGCTTAATAAAGGTGTGTGGGGTCAACTTGATTGTCCTGAATTCTCTTTGTTTAAATGCATTCTTCAGCCTGAGGCTAACTTTGTGGACAGCTTCCAGTTGATAATACATATTTTTTTAAAAATATTCTTTTAGGAAACTCAGGGTGACAGTCTTAATAAGTCATTCTGAGAATTTCTTTGGCATGAATAATGCTATTTTGTTACTACCCTGTTAAATTTAATAAAAACTCTCTAAAAAATAAATTATGTAATGGAGAGTCACAGTTTCCAATATGATCCTTTTTTGGTTCTTCTTTACAAACTGGAAAGTTTGTTGTGTTTGTTGGTTTAATTCAGAATAAAAAAGAAAAAAAATTAAAAGTATTAAAAAAAGGAAATCTTTCTCATACAAATGACAAAGAATTGCAGTAAGCCATACCTCACATATTCCTTAGTCCTTCTCATAATGTGTAGGGTGAGCGGATTAATCCCTGTAGGCAATTTCTCTTCTGCAAGGCTCAAAGGTATTTCTTCTCCTGTGTCAAGGTTCTTAATCATTACACTGGCCAAAATTTCCTGAAATCAAGAAGAACATTTAGTGCCAGACCACCAATAATTTCCATATTTCTACTTGAATCTTTCAGGAGAATTCTTTTAGAAAGGACAGCCAGAGACATGCAATGCTGCATACTTAAAATAGAAGAAACATCGGATATACTGCTTGAAAAACACTCAAAGTAGGGAGTAGAAGCAAGTAACACTGGCCAATGTTCACAGTATAATAATAAAGCTACCAAGGATGAAACCAGTCCCACAATATGCTGGAATAAATAATGTCACAGAAATAGTGCCTCATTATAAAAGTACTAAAAAGAACAAGTCACCCAGGCCATGGAGAGATTCAAAGATAGATAGCCTTTCTTCCTATATCCTATGTATAGCAAAAATCTTGACATCTCACTTCTTTTTGCAATGACGCAGTTTAGTTTCTGGATTACTGCTCCTCTGCTCCTCCACAGTCACCCTGTCCTCTCTCCTCTTCTCCATTTCCCTGACTCTCTGTTCTAGACTATTCTCACCATGGCTACAGTCCAACCACAGGGTCCCTATTCTGGTCCTGATTACTCTTCTCCAATTTCTCAGATCAGTTCATTCCTTTCTATTTTGGATGAAAGCACTCAAAAACAAAGTGTGTACACGCTGCGTGCTATGCGGTATGAACAAAAATATATGCCTGTAGTATTGGGTACTTAACTTTAGAACTAAGTTGACCTTCTGACATTCCTATAAACCATGGTTCTTATTTTTTATTACATAATCAACACCATTATATGATACTGACTTTTTAAAAGAATATATCTTCACCATCTTTTTTTTTTAACTTACTATGCGCCAGACACTGTGCTGAGTGCTTTACAAATATTATCTCACTTGATCTTCATAACTACCCTAGGAGGTGCTATTTATTACCCTCAATTTACAGATGAGGAAACTAAGGGAAAGAGAAGTTAAGTCACTTGCCTAGGACCATACAGCTATTAAGTCAAGGTTACATTTTCCCCTTATGTCAAATAATGAAAGGAAAGTTACAAGAGATGCCCCTTTAAAATAACATTGAAGGGACACTCCAATGTCCTTCATTTGTTTTGCATTATGATGCTTTTAACCATTAAAAAAAAAGCCATTTCAACTGTTACCTCATCAGTAAGTTCTCTTCCAGAATTGGACCTTGGTCTTTGAGGACCCATCATCTCCCCTGCTACTGTCGGCCCATCAGATGCTTTTCCATTTTCCTGAAATTATAAGTTTATAAAAAGCAAACCCAACAGACAATTTCAGAGAACTTTCAATTAGCCATTACCACACACAGCTGTGAAGAACTTCAATATTTCTGATGATGGAGTCTATTAAGATGGAAAACGGAAAACATCCATTTTAGAGACTTAATATTCCTAGCATGCTGAAGACTGTCCTTTCTGACCCCTCCATTACCCACAAAGTGAGCTGTCTCTTTAACCTTGACAATAAAGAAATGTGCTTTAGCACTCTACATGGGGTAGGGTAACAGAGAGAAAGAGGATGGCTGCTGAGCAGGCCTAGAAGGACTGACAGCTCCAGGGGAGCCAGACCAGGCAAGCATTCCTGTATTCTGTCACCCTTTAAGCTCTGCCACCTGTCGGGTTTTATGCACGTTCACATTTGGCACACCCTGAGCACGGCCCCACTAGCTAATAGGCAGGTTTTCATGTTTTAAAATATATTGCAAAAATAACCCCCATTTGGGCAGAACTGGGTCAGGAATGTGAGGTATTTTCAGTCTTCTTTTCATCATCCCTACAGTGACGCTAAGGCAACCAGCTGGGTGGGGGTGGTATGAAGAAAGCACGAGGTGAAATATAATAAGAGGAACCATTCTCCAATAGATGAGGGTACTAAGGATGAGAATAGGCAGTTCTCAAGAGAAAGCCAAGCTACCAACAAACATAAGCAAAAAAAAAAAATGTCCCCAATCAATAATTAGAAAAATGCTAATTAAAATAAATCTTGATTTTCATCTCATATCCATCAGATAAGTGGCAAATATGGTATCAGATGAAAATGATAAATGTCGGCTGTGGGATGCACCAGTGATGGAAATATAAATTAATGAGTTTAGCCTTTCTGGAAAAGAATTTGGATTTACACAAGGAAGTCACTAAATCATATTCTAGCAATTCCAGTACTAGGCATATACCGGAAGTGGATCAAAGACAGGAGGAAAAGCCCTTTCTACACCAAAATTTTTATAACAAGGAACTTCCTTTCCAGTTCACCACACTCACAGGTTGAGACAAAACCCAACAAATACGACAGGTTCAGGGAAACTTGGAAAGAACTATCAATAGGTGTGGCATTAAATAAGCCAAATCAGGAACACAGTTTCTACAATGCCGCACAATAACAAAGAAAAAGAGCCTCAAGAGACATCAGAACTCGGGTCAACGTAGTGACAATCCTGACCTCAGAGGCCTGGCAAAGCCAAAGGACAGAAAGACACACACATGGCCAGACATGGCCAGCATGTGGCTGATTTTCTGAACACTAATTCTTTGTTATAACTCGGAAGTCTATTTGGGGGAGTCAATGAGGAGTACAATTTTTTCTCAACATATACTAAACAAGTATTCAAGGCAGGATTTGATCTCAGGTATTCTTGGAGTGATCCATGCTACACATGTGCTTCAAGGTAACTCTTACATACACAAGTCATCATGTTTCCACAGCACTGTTCTAAAAGGTCAATGTGTTCTGACGAAAACACAATAGTGACCTCAATTTCAATTGTTTCCATAGCTTCCTCTCCTTTTGGTAACCTAGAACTCTCTGTTTAACAGTAGACGTGACTTCTCTGTGTGAGGTCAAAATAGAAAGCAACAAGTCAAGATCTTCTGTCTCTGGCCTAGCTTCAGAGAAGTGATCAATCTTGCCTCAGTAGATCTGACTGCACTCACCTGGTCAGTGACAATTTTCTCTCCACTGGTTGCACTCGCCAAATCAAGGGAAGGTTGTGCATCCTTGGGCTGGCATTCGGAAGACGTACCAGGAGTCAAGGCACTACCAGATGCAAAATTCTCTGTAGGAACTACAACAGACTCAGTATTAGGGAGAAAACACCGACATCATTCCCATTAACCATCCCAGCAGCAACATTAGAACAGGAACTTCCAGTTTCCTCTACTTAATATGACATGACCTTCAATGTCCAGGACAACTATTACTTCTGCCTATCTATACTGCTCGAAGCTCCTGGTCTCTAGGCCTCACAGGGAGCCAAGAATATACTTGCCTTCTAGCTCTGACGATTTCAGAGTCTCCAACTCCAATTCATTTTTCTTTTTCCGGGGCGGAGGATTAGGCCGGGCAGGAGGGGGGGGTCTGGGTGGAGGGAGATGGGTTGGGGGGGGAGGCCGAGCTGGGACAGGCTTCTTAGTGCTTGCCACGATATCGGGCTCTACAGGAATATGCCTTGGGGGCTTGACAGGAGCCGTTTCTTCTGCTGCAGCTACATCTTTGGGAGGGAAGAAGTCCGTGGATACCTGTTCTAAAATGTCAGTCTGTTTTATTTCTTCTTCATTTTTGGTTGCTGCTGCTTCGGTTTCCATTACAGTATGCTCATCAGTTGAACTGACTTTTATTACCTGAACAGTTTCACTAACTTGCTTCTCAGAGACACTTTCATAATAAGCACAAGGATCTTTGCTAGCATCGGATTTGGTTTCCTTAAATGTATTCTGCTTTTCTCTTTTTTTAACATCTTGTGACACCTGATCTGTGGCTGAAAGTCCAGGAATATTGCTCAGAAGGTCTGTTCCAACAACCAGAGTACTTGTAGTTGATTCTGGATCAGAATGTTCTATTCCCTTGGAATCCAAAGGTTCATCTTCAAGCTGCTGGACCTTCTGACTCTCCTCAATAATACTGTCAATAATCTGAAGAAAGAGAAAAGTTGAGATTTTTATGAAAGCATTCATTGAACTTCTAAGCCATTTCAGATTGTCCTTGTAGTATAAAAAAAAAAAAAAAAGAGTCCAACCAACCCTAGAAATTAACTAAACCCAACCTTTCTGTTCATTTGCATATTTGTGCCAAATTAGTTGAAATAACTGTTTAGAGATTTACTAGTCTAGTTAACCAGATGTCCAAATACCTACTCTAAACCTTAATAACAATAAAACTGACATTTATATAGTGTTTTAATGTTTATAAAGTACTTTGCTCACAAAAGTGTAAGCATTATCTTCATTTTACAAGTGAGGGAACTGAGGCCAGAAAAGTGCAATGACTTGCTCACAGTCATACAGCTGGTGTCACAGCAGGATTTGAACCCAGGTGGCACAGTGGAAAAAGAGCTGGACCCACAGGCAAGGAAGCTGAGTTTCAAACCCTGGCTATGTTGTATGACCCTGGCCCAATCACTGCATGTCCTGGGCCTTCACTTACCTCATGTATAAATGAGGGGGTTGGGCTGGATAACTCCCATAATCCTAAGATTTTACCCAGTACTAATAATATTGGCGAGCATTGATACAGCACTTTCAGGCTTGCAAAGTGACACACACACACACACACACACACACACACACACACATATAGAGAGATAGAGAGATAGAGAGATAGACAGATAGATAGATAAAAATAAACACATTTGATCCTGATGTCAACCCTGGGAGGTAGGTGCTATTTTTATTCCCATTTTACAGATAAGTAAACTGAGGCAAACAGGGTTAAGCAACTTGTCCAGGGTCACACAGCCATTAAGTGTCTAAGGCCAGATCTGAACTTAGGTTACCCTGATTCCAAGTCCGTCCAGTGTTCTGTTCACTGTGGTGCCACCTAACTGCTGGTACAGAAAGAATTCCAAGCTTCTGGCTTTATACACCTGCATTAATGTCCCTAAGGAGAGGGTAGGAAACCCAGAAAGGTACTAGAACTGAAATGAGAACGAAAGATGCCAAGCTCCAAGTAGGTCTCCTCTCCTGCAGGAAGGCCAAAGCCAGGTCTGGCTCAGCAATGCTTCTCAGACAACAGTAAAAACTAAGGGCCAAGGAAACCTGAAGCCTAGGCAAGGCTGGAAGAACAGGAGCATTCAATTACAACTGAGACAAGATCTCTAATCACCCAAGTCCAGCTGGAAGCTTGTCCACCAAATTCTTTACCGTTCCATGGTATTCCTCGATCGAGAACTGGCAGGGACCATCTGGTTCAACCCCCTCATTTACAGAGGAGGAAACTGAGGTCTAGGGAAGTGATATGAAGACATTAAGCCTGAGTTCTCTCTCCATCTGTCCAGTCTTCCTTTTCTGTCTGCCCCCTTTCTCACCGTGCTCTCCTACTATGCTATTTTAGCTCACGTTCCTGACTCAAGAAGCAAAAACTGTTTCTGAAAGTAACAAGGTCCGGTCAGTCAGTTCTGTCTTTCTCTGTTAGTTCCCTACATGTGTCCCAGTCTGGCCTTTGTCCAATGTTAGGTTTGTGCTGAAGCCCATGCTCCTTTACTACCTTCTTTTACTAGGAGTTAAGTAGGAGTGGAATATTATAAAACAGTCCCCAATTGCAATCGGGGCAGATCACCCATCAAGGGCTCGGGCATCAAGAGTACTTCCATGACACTGCGCTGACCTGATTCTCCTCCTGCCCCCCAAGTCCAAGCCTTGCCATGTCTCGGAGGGTGGCCCGTTGCTCACAGCTTTGGCTGTGATCTTCCAAACCCTTCTCTCAAGTGCTACTGTTTCAGGAGGGCCCCAGGCAAGTTCGGTTTTTCCATTGCTTTACAAGACATTCCCGTTAGAACTAAAAACATTCCAATGGAATTTATCATCTCCCCCCACCCACAAACAACAACAGGCTTCTCTTGCTCAATTCTCTCTCGTTTCTGTTTGCCCAGCACAAAACAGGCATCTGATAAATGTTCAATTCAATCCTCCAACTCCTCTGACTCAGAAACGTGGGTTAGCTTTCTCTTCTCCTCTGTCGTCCCTACGTAGGCACCAAATCGATTTGAAATGTCTCTTCCACGCGCCCTCAGCACCCTCTGCATGTCTTATGACAAGAGCTTCTTAAGGAGCCTCCAGCACTCTCCGCACGTCACAGGCAAGTGTGGCACTAGGGTCCCTTGCAGCTCCGGGACTGAACAATGACTATTATACCCTGATGACTCAATACAGTTAATCTGCTTCAAAGACTGCTTTCATCATGTCACTTCCAAGACTCATCACTAGCTCCCCAATGCCTACTATATCAAGAACAGAATCCTCATCCTGACATTCAAGGCCCTCCAGAGTCTTTCTCACTATTTCCATATATGAACAGACCTCTCCTCCATTAGCTCAAACAATCCTGTAAGCTCATTCCTGCTCCCAAGCCATGGCTCATCCTCTTCTCTCTACTCCAATCAAATTCAATTTAACCTTAAAGGGCCCAACTCTGGCTGTCCCTCTATAAGGCCTGCCTCATAACTCCAGTTTACCCCGAATTCTCTCGACTCTAAATGCCTATAGTTACTTCTAATCCTATAATGTGTTACCTAGTTTTTGAAATATATTTATAATTACTTGTGTGATCAAGTCTAGAAGAGACACATGCAGAACAAATGCAGAGGGTGCCATTAAGTCTATCACCTCCGGGAGCTTGTCCCTTCTCTCATTCCTCAACACCCAGTTCACTTTCAATCCGTTTATTGGCTCTTTCCCTCCTGCCTACAGATGTTCTTAGGCCTACTCCATTCTTGAAACACTCTTCGTTGGCATTCCCCTGGTGTAATCATCCTGTATTTCGCCTCTCTTTCACCTCCAAACTCCAAGAAGGAACTGCCTTCTTTCACTTCACTGCCCATTCACTTCTCAACCCTTTGCTACTGAGCTTCTGATCCCACCACTTGCTGTGGCTGATACCAATGACAACTCCCTTCCTCTTGTATACTCTCTCTTCCCATAGCTCTCTCTTCACTTACCTCTTATCTGGAACACTTTCTGTCTAGAAGGGCTTGGGAGAATGGATTCCTCACTATACCACACTAGTCAAACCCTTCCTGGAGATGAGGTTGAAGCAGCAGGACTGACCAAATAATTTCAGTGACTAGCCAGAAGGGTTATGGCTCAGTGGATAGAGTGCCAGGACTGGAGTCAGGAAGACCTGAGTTCAAATCTGGCCTCAGTTGCTTCCTAGCTGTGTGACCACGAGCAAATCACTTAACTCCATTTGCCTTAGTTTCTTCAGCTGTAAACTGAGCCGGAGAAGGAAACGACAAGCCACTCCGGTATCTCTGCCAAGAAAATCCCAAATGGGGTCACAAAGAGTCAGACATGACTGAAACAACTGAACAAAAACAAAAAGCCAGAAGGGGCTGAGCTCTAGCCTTGGATACCCAACTGACCTAAGACGGGTCTCCTTACAGCTTCTCTCACCCCTGAGAAGAACCAAGGGTGAAGTCTAGGTTCTTGAATGATGGTCTGGTCACTGGGAGGCTCTTGAACTTTGACCCCTAACTTAGGAGTCCTCTTCTTGAGGTGGCTGAAGCCAGCTTTGTTGCTTTCCACTTACATCCACATCCTCTCTAGCTCCCTTCATGGAATGAACTAATAGCAAAGCTCACCCAAGGGGCTCGGGAAGACAACCCCCTACTTCTCTCATGTTCCCCTTTAGACTCCAGCTCCTAGCATTTCATAATCTACCGTGGAAAACCTAGGGCCTCAAACACATTTATGTAAACTCTAGTTTCTACAGCACTGCTATCTCCTGACCAATTACCTTCTCTCTCTCCAAACTTTTTTTTTTAATTAAAAAGTTAATTTAAGGGGAAAAAACTGAAGCTAGAGAGCTGCTTTCCTAAGAACTAAGACGTCAGGTTAGCTCAAGAATTCTCCCAAGTCTCAAAGGGAACAAGATGGCCTCCAGTGTACTAGGTAGTAGATCCACTCCAAGGAAAGAGTGAAACTCCTCACTCCTTCTGTGGCATTCAAAGCCCATCACAGTGGGCCTCTGGTCTACCTTTCCCACTGCTATCCCTTCACACATGCGACGCTGCAGGCCAGCCAGCGGACTCTGGGTTCTTCAAAGGCAGCCTTCCATTTTGCCTCCCTGCGCATTAGCACAGAGACCCTTCTACTCCTGGAATACAGCCCTCTTCAACTCCTCTGTTTCCAACAAGATTCAACTTGAGTGCCACGTCTTATAAGGAGAGCTCTCCTGCTCCCTAGTTGCTCATGTCCTCTATCCTCAAATTCGATCCTATTTATTTTTTCATTGAAATGAGGAAGCTAGAGTGGATAGAATGCTGGATTTGGAGTCAGGAAACCCTAAATTCAAGTTCTGTCTCAGATACCTACTTGCTGTGTGACCCTAAGCAAGTCATTTAACCTCTGCCTCAGTTTCCTCAGCTATGAAATAGGGATAATACCATCACCTACCTTACAGGGTTGTTGCGATGATTAAATGGGATACGTGTGAAGTGCTTTAAAAACCTTAAAGCTCTATATAAATGTCAGCTGTCATTACTGCTATTATGAATGTTGTAAACCCCCTCCTCCTCCCAAAAATGTAAAGGTAGAGACTTCTTTTTATTTTTGTCTTTACATCCCCAGCATCTACCCCGGTACCTTGTACACAGTAAGCATAACATACTTGTTGAATGAATGGACAAATAAACATCTGGTTCCTGCACATAGTCATGGACTAATAGCATCTTAAAAGTAGGACTCTATTAATGCTCAGACAACACAATCCTCTACTCGGTGATTTTTCTTTAGAGGTAAATCTGCTTTGGTTTCAAGCAGCAGGGTTGAGTAATTTTTTTTTTCTGAATTCGTTGTGTGCATGTGAATGTATGCTGTGTACATATATGTATGTGAAACACGCATATGTGCTATAACAAATATGTATATAGCATGTATATATCCCTATAGGCACATGTTATATACACGTACACACACACACACGTATATACACCTGATCTCCTCTATAAGAGTGCAAACACAAGGAGGAAGGGACCATATCTGACATGTAACGTTTGTCTCCCACAAGATCTAGTCAACTGCAGTATTTCAGGCTTGTTCTCCATTGCCAGGTCTCTGGTTCTCTCTGATATGAAGTATTTGAAGAGCAAAGGAGTAAGCCCAAGGACTTGACATAGACAACCCTGGAACCCTGAAATCAGGAGTCTAGGGTACTTCTCACACGTTGTACTTAATGCCCAGTTTGAATTCCCATGTGGCCCAAAGTTATTCTAGTAAAAACATAAAATACTACATTCCTACTCATGCACTTTTACAAATACTCCATGTGTCAAGTAGAAGTTATTTTAATAATAAAAAATGAGATAAGCTTAAAGACTGACAATTTTAAGAAAAATACATTATTTCACATCACTAACAAATTCTAGAAAAAAATTTATCAAATAGTCATGTTGTACTCAACAAGATACTAGAAACACACTGGTGAGGAAAAACCATTCTCTTATTAAAGTTGGCTATCCTTAGTGAAATTTAACTGACCTTGGAATCATCCTGTTTCAATTCTTGAACAACGGACTCATTTCCAACCTTATGTTTAATGCTATCTGTCTCCTGGAAAAACAACAAAATGACAAACCTGAGTGAGACTCCTGTCTTTAAAAAAGAAAATCTGGATAAAGTAAGCACGGATCAGAAAAGCTGGTATCCTTATTCCTAAAGGCCGTGATTTATATGTTAAATTATAGAAGTTTTAAAAACTTGAGAAGTCAACACATCAACATTTTTCTGTTTTCTTTTTGGTAATCTTTAACACAACTATGCAATTCAGGAAGTGGGGATGTGTGTGTCTGTGTGAACAGGTATGTGTTTAGGATGACAAAAAATCCAAAGCAAAAACCTTAACATTATACCTATTTTATACTATTTTACAGTCATAAAATTATGGCAACATTAATGAAACTCCTAACCCTAAAAGGGATTGCAAATTATGAGTCACCAAGCTATATTTGGCATTTGGGAGCAGTCTCCACTCAATGCTCTGACTGATCTATGAGCTAAGCTTGTCAGTGTGGGTAATCCTGTCATCAAGGCAGATCATTTCCTATCCATGCCATCACATCCCATGGGATTCACAGCCTTGACTTTTCATAAATTCTCCAGAGAATCTACCCAATGCAATCCCAACACGATCCAAAGTTATTCTAAGTAAAAACATGAAATAATACATTCTCTTTAGAATGCAGTCTAAAAGACTTCTTTTTAGAGGTCTTTTAACATTTGTCAGATACGAAATAATATCGATAGATAGAACAAGCATTTATTAAGCACCATGTGCCAGGTATTGTGATAGGTGCTAGGACAACAAATATAAGCAAAACAGTCTCGGCCCTCATGGAGCTTATACTCTAATGGGGGAAGACAACATATAAAGGGGAGTTGGGAAGGGGTACGGATAAGAGCCCATGGTGTTTCCTGGGGTAGGATCCAACTTTGCCAAAAGGAGGAGGTAGAGAAAATGGCCTGAGTGGAAAGCAGCATGGCTTATAAACGGCTAGGAAGTACAATATTCTAGCCAACCATCTGTTAGCTCTTGCTGTTGATACTGCCTTTTTCTAATCATACATGTCTTCGAGAATGTCTTACAACACTTCTTCCTCAAGTTATCACTGGGAATATACCGAAGCTACTGATATTCACAATGCAGTTTTCCATTACTCTTTAGATGCCTTGTACCTTTGATTCTTTTAAGATTCTAGTGTTCAATGCGTCTTTAGGGAGCAGTTTAAGGTTATAAAGGGTTACTCTCCCACTGTGACCCACAGTTTAAGAAGCACCATAGACCTAGTCAATTCCAGGGTCAGCTCATTTTCCATTTGCATATGCCCAAGATGTATATGTTGTTGTTGTTTTTCATTCACTTCAGTCATGTCCAACTGTTAAGATACTGGAGTGGTTTGCCATTTCCTTCTCCAAAGATATATGTACTGATACAATGAATGGAGAGGCTTCCCAATAAAATGCATGTCACTATCTGTGCAGCATTCCTTCTTCATTTATTTGGGTTTTGCTAGGTAACCTGCTGGCCCAATCTACTCAAGTCAGCAGCATGACCAACAGCACACAAATCCCTTCCCTTCTCTGAATGTCCTTCCCTTGCTATGGCTAAGTAAACTTCCTATTTGTTAACTGCTACACAGTGTCTCATTTCATTCCCATCCGAAAGTTAAGGAGCCGACCCAGCATGAGCCAGGTTTTAGCCTTTTAAAGCAGAGAAGTATCTTAAGTGGAGAACTTTTTTTTGTTAATTCAATTTTATTTTCAGTTCCAAATTCTCTTCTCACTTCCCCTCCCCAACCCACTGAGAAAGCAAGAAATACAAAACCCATTGCAAAAATGAAGGCGCGCAAAACAAATTTCCTACTAGTCATATTGTAGGGGGAGAAAAACAAGAAAGAAAAAATGCTCCAATCTATGATCTGAGTGCATCAGTTCTCTAGGAGGTGGACAGCATGTTTCGTCTTGAGTCCTTTGGAACCGTAGTTGGTCACTGTGTTGATCAGAATTAATAAGTTTTTTTCACAGCTGATTATCTTTACAATATTGCTGTTACTGTATAAATTGCTCTCCTGGTTCTACTCACTTCACTTTGCATCAGTTCATATATATATATATATATATATATATATATATATATATATATATATATTCTCCAGGTTTTTCTGAAACTATTCCCTTCATCATTTCTTACAGCACAATAGTATTCCATCACATTCACATACCATAACATGTTTAGCCATTCGCCAAATAATGTGCATCCCTTCAGTTTCCAACTTTTTACCACCACAAAAAGAACTGCTCTAAATATTTTTGTATATATAGGTCCTTTTCCTTTTTCATTTTCAGGTACAAACCTAGTAGCAATATTGCTGGATCATAGTTTTTAGGCATAGTTCAAATTGCTCTTCAGAATGGTTGGTCTACTTCATAGATCTACCCACAGTGCAACAGTGGGTAGATATTTTCCCATATCCCCTCTGGCATTTACCATTTTCCTTTTCTGTCATGTTAGCCAATCTGATAGGTATGAGGTGGTACCTGAGAGTTATTTTAATTTTTATTTCTGTAATGATTAGTGATTTAGAACATTTTTTCACATGGCTACTGATAGCTTTGATTTCTTCTTCTAAAAACTGCCTGTTCATATCCTTGAGCACTTAATCAATTGGGGAATGGCTCTAATTCTTATAAAATTAGCTCAGTTTCCTATATATTTGAGAAATGAAACCTTTATCAGAGAAATCTGATGCAAAGATTTTTCCCCAGTTTCCTGCTTCCTTTAATTTTAGCTACATTATGTATAAAATCTTTTAAATTTTATGTAATCAAAATTACCTGTCTTACCTCCTGTGAACCTCTCTACCTCATATTCGGTCATGAATCTCTACCTATAGATCTTATAGGTTACTTCCTCCATGGCCCAATAATTTGCTTATGAGATTACCCTTTATGTCTAAATCATGTACCCATTTGGAGGTTACCTTGGTATATAATGTGAGACGTTGCTGTATGCCCAGTTTCTTTCTGACAGACTTCTTTCTAGTTTTCCCAGGTGTTTTTGGCAAACAGTGAGTTCTTACCCCACTAACATCTACTAGTTGGGCAAAACTGCTGCTAATAAATAATTTAATTTCGTCTTCATTGGTCGCACATTCACCCTTTTCATTCTAGATACTGGTAAACTGGGGTTCTTTCTTTTTTTAATCAACTTATTGATTAATCAATAAATAAAATAAATCAATGGTTTATCTATTTTATTGTTGTTGTTTTTTATAAAACTAGCTCCTAGTTTTACTTATTAGTTCAATTTTTTTTAAACTTTCAATTTTATTAATCTCTCCTTTCATTTTCAGTATTTCTATTTTATTGTTTAGTTGGGGATTTTTAAATTGTTGTTTTTCTAGTTTTTGTAGTTGCCTGCCCACTTCACTGATCTGCTCTTTCTTTCATATATAAGATATAAGAATTTACAGATATAAATTTCCATATAAATGCTTTGGATGCATCCCACAAATTTCGGTATGTTGTCTCACTGTTGTCATTATCTTTAATGAAATTGATTATTTCTATGATTTGTTCTTTGACTCACTCAGTCTGTCAGATTAGGTTACACAGTTTCCAATTAATCTTTAATCTATGCTTCAAAATCTTTTACTTAATGTATTTTTTATTGCATTATGGTCAGAAAAGATGCATTTAATGTTTCTGCATTTGTTTGTGAAGTTTTTATGCCTTAATGCACGGTCAATTTTTGCGAAGGTGTCATGCACAGCTGAAAAAAACAAAAGATTTGTTCCTTTCTATTCCCATTCAGTATTCTCCAGAGGCATAACATATCTAACTTTTGTAAAATTCTATTCATCTCTTTAACTTACTTGTTGTGGACTTTATGGTTAGATATATCTAGGTCTAAGAGGGATAAACTGAGGTCCTATATTAGTATAGTTTTACTGTCTATTTCCTCCTGTAACTCTTAACTTTTTCTTCAAGAATCTGGATGCTATGCCATGTGGTACATATATGTTCAGTATTGATATTAATTCATTGTGTAGGGTACCTTTTAGCAAAATGTAGTTTCCTTGTTTATCTTTTTTAATTAGATCTATTTTTGTTTCTGCTTTGTCTGAGATCATGATTGCTACCCCTGCCCTTTTTTACTTCAGTTAAAGCAGAATAGATTCTGCTCTAGCCTCTTATTTTAACTGTGTGTGTCTTTCTGTTTTGGGTGTGTTTTTTGTAAAAAAACATATTGCTGGATTTTGTTTTCTAATCCATTCTGCTATCCACTTCCATTTTATGAGTGAATTCATCCCATTCACATTGACAGTTAAGATTATTAACTGTGCATTTCCATCCATCCTATTTTCTTCTGATTATCCTTCTCTTTTTAACCCTGTCACCTCTTCAAGGGTCTGTTTTGCTTTTCACCACTGCCTCTCTTACTCTTCCTTCCCTTTTATATCACTCCCCACCCCTGTTCCTTTGCTTAGTCCCTTTCTCTCCTACTTCCCTATTGGCCAATATGAATTTCTGTACCCACCTGTGGAGGAGAACCTTTAAGACTACATTTTTTTGCGGTCAAATGCTGTGTGTGTGTGTGTGTGTGTGTGTGTGTGTGTGTGTGTAATGTACAACTGCAGGATCTTGTATTCCTTACATCTTTCTGTCAACTAAGTGAAATGAAGATAGGAAAGATATCTAACAGAAAACAGTATGTGGAAAAGATCGTGCCTATTATTTTTGTCAAAGATCCCCTTGGACCATTCTCAAAGACTTTAAGAGGGTGAGAAAGTCAGCATCTGAGTCAATAGCCACTGAAGTCACATAGCAGCTAAGTGACTGGACAAAACTGTGGGCCCAGGTTCACGTCCAAGTCCCTGGTTCTAAGAGAAGAAGCGTGATGTGGATATGTGGAAGGCTGTTTCATAGAATCCCAATAGGCAGATTTATTCCATATATGCTCCAGGTTCTCTCCAGTGCATAACAATCTTTGTTTTATATATTGGTTAATGGAATACTAATTTTTAAAAAATTTTTTTTATTTTTAGGCAATTGGGGTTAAGTGACTTGTTCAGTGTCACATAGCTAGTAGGTGTCAGGTGTTCGGTCTGAGGCCGGATTTGAACTCAGGTCCTCCTGACTTCAGGGCCGGTGCTCTATCCACTGCACCACTTAGCTGCCCCTGAAATACTAATTTTAAAAGAAAAAAAGTATCCTTGTCAAGATGGATGAAGAGATTCCCCTCATACACACACCCCAATGTAATATAGTAGGAGAGGACTGGGCTTTGTGTCTGAAGAGATGGGAGAGGAGGTGGTCAAAGGTTGGCTGACATTTACTAGCTCTAAGAACCTTAGCAACTTGTTTTATTGCTCTGAGTCTCAGTTCCTTCATCTGCAAAATGAGGATAATAATAATAATTCAATGCAACAAACACTTATTACTTGTACAACTCACCTCAGAGTTGTAATGAGAACACTTCTTTGTAACCATTATAGATCTACAAAAATGGAAGTGGTTACTAGAAGACATAACTTGGCATACAAAAGCAAGCTAGATGGTCCCCGACTTCAAAGAGCTTACATTCTAATGGCCAGCTGATCAGCCTCCAAACCAGGAAGCATTGGTTCAAGCCCTGCCTCTGACACATACTCTTGACGACTTGTTAAGACTCTACATCAGAGAGAAGGTGCTTCCCTGGATTGGGGGCATGGGGGGCGGTGTGTGGAGGGGGGAACAATAGTCCTCACCAAGAAGGTCCCTACACCAAGGAAGTCACAATCCCAGTCTTTATCCCTACCCTATATTAGCATGGAATATTTAGGCTCAGACATTTCTAGAGCACATATACATCCAGTAATAAATAATATTTTTTAGGACAGGCAGCTTCATATATTGGATAGAGGGCTGGCTTTGGAATAAAGAAGACCTGAGTTATACCAAACGTGTGGCCATAGGTAAGTGGCTTAACTTTGCAGTGTCCCAGGGGTTACTCTAGAGTTGCCAATCTGCATTAGGGAAAGAAGTTTACACACTAAGAATTCCTTACACTGATGAAACCACAGGCCTGGACCAATAAATAAAAGAACAAATAACCAAATATTATACTAGCTGACAGTTGGGTAATGCTTTAATGTGTTTGCCTCACAATGCTGTGAGGCAAGCCAGGCCGTACTAAGGACTGGAGGTCATGTTAATGCTGTTAGGGAGTAAAGGATGATCTAGAAAAAAGCAGAAAGGAAAGAAGGAAGCCTGGACAACACTGCACAAAATCTGGAGAAGCACAGGTATGTTTCACAAAGTCCAACTTACCTTCAAGGTTGGAAACCCAATCTTTGTTGGGGACCTGTTGATGAAACAAAAGCAAAAAGAAGTAAGTGGGCAGGAAAAACTCTTCTATATCTAATAAGGCTCCTATACAGACTCTATTCCAAAATACAAAATGGAATTTTCAACAACATGTTATTACATGTGACCCGACATTCTAGTGGCTGGGATTCTTTTTCAATCCTGATGGTCATGTGCTGTGTTAGCACTCCCTCCCAGCTTTGTGTCATCTAGGGATGCAAGTATGCCAGCTAAGCCTTTATCTAAGATCACTGATGAAAACGATAAACAAAACAGGGCCAAGCACAGATTTCGAGGGGCCATCCATTAGAGACCTCCTTGAAAATGGCCATTTATCCCTTAACAATTACATGTGGATTCCTATTACTAAAGCAAATCACCACCCATTCTGTGCCTTGCTGGAGAGGCTTTAGAGAATTGTAATGGGTGAAAAACTCATCACCCTGTGACCAAACCAGTGATGAGCCTCTTCCAAATTACCTTGCCTGGTCCTAGCACCACAAACCTATGGGTCATCACCAGGCTCATGTAACAGTAAGATATTTATATAGGGCTCTAAAGTTTAGAAAGTGCTTTACACTTTTTTTAATCCAGTCAGGCAATTAGCAATTATCATCCTTATCTTACAGATGAGGAAACCGAGGTTCGAAGAGGTTCTAAATACCTTATCTACGGACACACAGGCAGTAAGTATCAGAACCAGGACTTGAACCTACTTCTCCTGACTCCCATTCACTGGACTATGACATAACTGCCTTTCCATTCTTCCATTTTTAGTACCTGCTAACGTAGCATATGACTTATTTCCAACAAGAGCTTCATCACTATAAGCTGACATTTTTTTTTTAGCTTCAGCAATTCATAAAACCATCTAGTAAGGCCTGAGTTCATAATCTTTGTCATATTACGGACCACTCTGGCAATCTGGAGAAATCTATGGATCTCCACTCTGAATAATACTTTAAAAATCATAAAATAAAATGCATAGGATTACAAAGGAAATCAGCTACAATAAAATACAATTATCAAAATACATTTTTTAAAAAACCAATTTCATGAACTTTAGGTTAAGTACCCTTTACTAAGGTGTAGAAATTTTCTATTAAGAAGTATAAACACTGAAGAAATCATAATAATTTAGGACAACTTCCAAAAATGAAGCAACATTTCTACGCAGTAAATATGTGGTTTCCCTAAGATTATCAGCTTCAGTTCTAGAAACATACACATTTCTTATCATAGATCTCAAACTGTTTCCTACATACATACGAGGCCAAAACAAGAGTTTGCAATCTAAGAAGCGAGCACAATATCAAATCAGTCCCCAAAAACAAAAAGATCCCCGCCAATGGAACACTAAGCTTCTAAGGCACAGGACTCAGAGTTACAAGGAACCTCTGAGATCGGCTAATCCAAACCTCTACATTTTACAGAGAAGTGAAATGACTTGTCCAAAGCCACACAATGAGGAAGCAGGAGAGTTGGGAGTCTGAGCTACATGCCCAGGAGACCATGGCTTTCTCCTGCATAAGAATACCAGCAATAACATTTGGGTAACAGCAACCGGAAAAAACAAACATTCAAATATATGTCACTCCCATAGGAGGAGACAGTAAGAAGAGAAGGCAGAAGGGAATGAGATGCTGGCAAACGAGGAAGGTACAGAAGTGCATGCACAACAGGAGAAAGGACCCCCACCCCAGCTCACCTAAAAGAGGGCATGAGATTTCTTAACTGCAGCACACAGAAGAAGTTGGTGTATTCTGATGATTTTGAGAGGGTAGAAGACCATCACTCGTTTCTCATTACTGACCTTTCAGGGCTGACGTAGGCCAATCACTGTCCCAGAGTTTGCCAGTTCCCACCTGGCACCAGAGAGGCTACCTCGACATGGAGCTGGCTGTGTCACCTTAACGTGGTCACTGCTTCCTAACTCCTTGTGCCGTACTTTGTGCTGAGTGTGTACAGCTGTGATCTTGCCAGTAGGAGGAGCTCCTGGTGAGGAAACTCCCTCTACCCATGTGGATGGGGCAGCTCTTCTCCAACTTACGAGTCTTGGAGAGGAGGGTACTTAGGGCACTGAGAGGATTTGCCCTGGGTGGCCCAGCCAGGGGGTGTCAGAGGTTTGATTGGAATCCTGGGCTTCCTGACTGAGAGGCTCATCTTTAATAAACTATATGTGTCTAAGGTAAACAGATGGCCTTGCTCCCTAAGGAATTCATCCCAGGGCCTCAGGAGTTCTCGGGCAGCTGGTGCTCAGCTTGGAGTCTGGGGAGAAAGAACCCACTTCAAACTTGTATGGTTCTGCTCTTTTTGTAGTCAACACTAAGCCTCATGCTCAGATCTGACATCTAGAATACTGGGGACAATTTTACTTGAAAATACACAAGTGTTTTTTTTCCTTGCCCTTCATGTGTATCCAATTAAATAAACACTGAGTAAGTGCCTACTAATACGCAGAACACAACAATAGATGAAGATCTGAAAATGAATCAGACAGGATCTCTGTCCTGGTGGAGCTTACATTCTAGGAATTTGTTTTACTAGACCATTAAGGTGAAAAGAAATAACAGCACCAAATAGTATCACTTAGTTTGAGTACCAGTAGGCCCCAGCTGGAGGTTTCTAGGGTCTGAGGCAGGCCCTTACTTGCCCCGGGCCACGCTTGAGTTTGGGTCCTAGAGGGAGAGGTGCCCAAATAGCCACAAGAACTCCCCGAAAGGCCTGGCTCCTCCCACCATGTGTGGCCCAGGAAATTCCCTGACAAGATATGTTCAACAACCTCTTTTAAGCCTGGACAGAACAATCTTCAACACTTTTCTGTAAGCTCTCACAGTCACCCGGTAGGGCTTTCCTCTTCAAGATGGATGCTGTCTCGTCCCAACCTCCCAGCTAGAACACTAGAGTAGGGAATCATCTGACTACGTTCCAGGTTGGCTCCTAGATGCAAAGTAAATTCAGTGAGACATCCACTTGGACATTTTTAACACTGGCTCCACGTCATAATCACTTTCAAATTATAAACCACAAATTAAAAAAAAATGGCTATTTTGTTAAAGAGGGCATAATTAAGTTCTCCTTTGATCCATCAAAAGAACATTAGTTTCAAGTCAAAAGTAGGGGGAAAAAACCCTAATTTGCAAAGGTGACCAAAGGAATTTGTATGTGCCAAGAGAACCAAAGAGCAAAGAGAATGCCAACTTATTGGGACTGGTCCTAGGTAGATACTCTTTTCCTAAGTTAGCAGTCTTTTTTTATTAGCATCTTGAAATGAGAGCTTATGTAATTGTCTGTTTCTGAGGCTAGCTAGGACTGCACCAGTCAAAGCATTTGACGGGTTCCAAGAAGATCAAACAGATTAAGATTCGATACCTTTGAACTCATCTATTGACAAAACTCAAGTAACATAGTGCTTGTTCACAGCAAGCACTACCAGGGAAGAGAGTGCTCCACACAAACACACACTTCCTAGATGACTATAACTTAGACCTTTAAAATATCCAAACCTTTTCTATTTTAACTAATTTTAATCGAATCCATCTAAAATGGATTACACAGATTATACAGGCAGAGTATAACAACACAACTTAACCGTTTCTCAGTGACACATGGTCATTAAATTAAACTATTACATTAAATTAAAACATCAATTATTCTCAAATGGCACCTTTGGCTGTTACTGAGCTCTGAAGCGTTCTTAGATTTTATAATAAACAGTCCCAGACCACTATGCTTTGATTTTGTCTCCTCTTTTGTTTTTGGATTATCAATTGTCCCTTCCTGCTGTCATAAATGGTGCCTCTGAAAAATGACAGATTCTAATTTCTTGCTTCCAATCTTTTCTGGGATGGAAAAGCAAATAACTAATATAGGTTAGGTTTGTGTCACAATTAAGATTTGATCAGATCTTAGTGAAGGCATGAGGGCCTCCAAATACATCAGCTTAAAGCACAGTGCCCTGCACACAGTAGGTACTATATAAACACTTATTCCTTTCCTTCCCTTTCTTCTTAAAAGACTATGTGACTTCCATTTTGGTTACTCAGAGGCCTTTTCCCTTATTGCCCAATTCTTGAATTTGTACTGAATAGGGGGACAAGCCATTTCTTGCTGTGTCTTTTCAATTTCAAGATGGATAGAATGCAATCATGGGGTTTAGAGCTGGAAAGAATCTTAAAGATCATCTCATCTGTTTCTCCCACCCCATTACTCATTAAAAACAGAAAAACAAAAAACCTAGAAAGGTCCAGGGACCTGCCCATGGTCACAGAGGTAGTAAGCAGAGCTAGAATTTGGCTCCAACTCTTCAAACTCCAAATCCAGCATTCTTTCCTCTTGAGCCATGGCATAATACAACAGAAAGAGCAATGACTAAGCTTGGAATCAGGAAGGTCTAGTCCAGGGATGAGGAACCTGTGGCCTGGAGGCAGGCTCCCCACTCCTGGTCTAGTCACTTAGCCCCTCAGAGCCTCTGTTTCTGCAGCTGTAACAACACCTCACAGAAGTGCTTTGAGGAACAGATAAGCTAATATCTAGAACTCATCTCCTAACCCTTCAAGGCCTCTAGACATGAGCGCTATTGGCAGAACTGGTTCAGATTGTTAGGGTGCAGAAGCACAACTCTCACCCAGAACAGAGAAGGAAGGGCCCTGTTAGAGTCAAGTGACCTGGCTTCTAGTCTTGGCTCTCCCATTGTTGAAGACAAGTCCTTGGAACTTCCTTATTTGTAGCACATGGAGAGGCAGCTGGTGCAGCAGAAAGATCATTCAACCACTTGTATGAACTTGGATGAGTCACTAGACTTCTCTTGGAGCTCAGTCTCCTCTTCTTCTTAAAATGAGAGGGAAGAACTACATGAAGTCCCTTCTAGTCCTGAATCTATGATCCAATGACCAGATGATCTCCAAGGTACATCTGAAATCTAAAAGTCTATGGTTTTCATGGTATTCATTTAAAAAAAAACTGTTATATTGATTCCTAGAACCAAGATCAAAATTA